ATGGCGATCCAAATCACCAGCAAAAGGAAAGGAAAAGCGCCAATGCGGATACATCGCGAGTCAATGAAAATATTAAAATGTTGCAATTATTATTAATAAGAGTATACGCTATAAAATAAGACGAATGTTATTAATCGGAATGTTAAAAATAATAAGTTTCTTTTTTCTTTTGGATTGGAAAATAATTATGCTTTTGCAAAATAAATAAGTATGTACGTAAAATATAGATTTCCATTATAATAAATAATTTTCAAATTTATTTCTATTCATACATTTTCGCGAAGAAAATTCGACGAGAAAAGAAAAATTTCGATATCTCCGAAGCGACAATCGTATTTCGATTCGCAATTCCGTAATGAGGAATATAAAAAGAAAAGATTTCCCGATCGGCAATCGAACTCGAAACGGCAAACGCTTATGCAAAGCACTTTATATACGAGTCTATTCGTTTCGACGCATAATATTTCTTACTCTATTGCATACGTATATATTTGCATGTACGCGTCGAAGAGGAAGGATAATTTTCTTTCGGACAAATATTCGGCCTTCATCCCGATTAAAGGGGCGCGGCTTTCAAGAGACGGAATTCGATCGGCACGCCTTCATGCTCGTAATCCGACGCGGATATTCGTTTAAAACTTTCTTGCATACCAGCTCGAACCGAAACTTTCTTAGAGTTTATAGAGGAAATTGGCAGAAAGGCCGGTTCATCGCGCACGCTCTTGAGAGAGAGAGAGAGAGAGAGAGAGAGAGAGAGAGAGAGCGAGGGCGAGCTTTAACGCGGACGATCGGTAAGCGAGCATCGTTACAAACTCTACGCGATTTCTGTCAGAATCATTCGTATTCCTAACGCGTATCTCCATCTGCATACGGCTCAGCCGAGTATCATAAATGTCAAAAATTATAACTATATTATTCGAATCGGAACGAACGCTTCGAAAATGTATTCGTAATTTCAATTTATGCTCGTTAATTTATATTCCAGGCAAACGTTGTGCAAACGATAAAACAGTGCTAGACCATTGGAAATATTTCGTTGAAATTGATCTCTCCCTTTCTCTTGCATATTTTTCTCGCCTGTGCACAACTCCGCTAGAAATCAATCTTGCCTTCTACCATTACGTTTCGTCATTACTTCATATAATACGGTTTCTATTATTGCCGATAATTGGCTTATTTATTAGCGGTAATTAAATTGACCTGCGGCCATCATCGACCAATAACGTGGTTTCTCTATTATTTTGGCAGCAACGAGATTTGTGGTCCTCCCCCCCCCCTCTCTTTCTCTCTCCATATCCCTCCCGCCCCCGATTTTCTCGGAAAGAGAGAGAGAGAAAGAGAGAGAGAGAGAGAGAGAGAGAGAGAGAGAGAGAGAGAAGGAAAGAAGCAGAAGAAGAAAAACGACGTTGCCGTGATCGATGCACGCTTGTCGGCACGCTCTGCGTGAGACGTAACACCCGCGAGCAATGCGCGATTATTGGAAGAAGAAAAGAAATGTCGAGAGCGACACTCGTCGAATCGAAATTAGACGAGATTTGTGCAATTTTAAAGGTTCTTTCTAATCCTTTCGTAATACGATTTTATTTTCGTATGTTTGCTAAGAGGTAAGCTAGGAAAGTATCTCTTTTCTTTCCTTTTTATTTGCTCTCTCTCTCTCTCTCTCTCTCTCTCTCCCTCTGCAAACGACACTCTTGGCCGTTGACTTTCTGGCGGTACTCGTTTTACCGAGCATTCTACGAAACAAAATATCTCGGTGCTCGCGTTGGCCCGTGTTGCCATCCGTATAGGAATAGGGCGCCCGCCGCGTGGATCGATAGCCGGCGCATGGCCGCAGGGACGTAGAACGCGCCACCGAAAAACTTTCCTCTCTCTCTCTCTCTTACTCTACTACTAGTTTTCCTCCTCCCCGGTATTCGTGGTCAACGAAAAGACGAAAGTTTTGGGTAAAACACGTTGCAAGATCATCCCGACACTCGTAACCGATCGTGTCACGTCTGTCAACCACTATCCCTACTATATTGGCCGAACCATACTTTTTCTTTCTCCACACTTTACCAAGACGTTCTCGCGAGTACCGAAATCGATATTAGAGATTTTTCTATACTCGATGTTTCTGAAACGGATGATAAACTAGAAAGTTGGTTGCTCGCTAAACGACCCTTTGAAAATCTCGTGTATGCGCGAAAGTAATTTGAAAATCTGACGTGTCATAAATAACGCGATTTTACGATAATTTAGCGTGCTTACGAAAGAAACGAAGAGAACTAAGAAAAATCGTAAAAAACCTTTGGTCGATCGCGAAAACCTCGTAAACGATATCGTAATGTTAAAAAGAGAGTAGAGTTTCTTGATCGGCGAACAAATGTCCTTCTCCCTTCCTAGAGTCTCTAAGAAAAACTCGAACGTTTCGTTGTTTCGTTTCGTAGATTGTGACGTTTATAACGTCGAAAGAAGAGAAAATATATTGCGTCACTGCCGTATCATTCTGGCTACGTATTCATTTATATTCGTTTCTAACCAAGTTTATACTTGGAAATGTTTCTTCAAGTACGTTTTAGATTAACACGATTTCATTGTGAAATTAAACGAAAATGTGTATGTAAAAAAGAAGATATAAATTTTTTCGAAAAAATCAAGAAACGGATTAAAGCGATTGATGAAGTCGGGTTAGGTAAAAAAGTAAAAGCTAACGTTTCCCATTTCAAAAGATCTCAACGAAGGAAAATGACGATTCGTTGATTCGAAACGCGTTGATAATAATTAATAAAGATGTATTCGTTCATTTCGTAATTTTATGAAATAAACGATATACGCTCGGCAAGGGAGAAAAAAACTTGATAAAGGCGAGAGTTTCGAGAGAGAAGGAGGAAAGAAAAGAGAGAGAGAGAGAGAGAGAGAGATTTCGAAATGCGAAGATTTATAAATGCGAAGAATTAATAAGAAATCTCAAATTCCTATTTCGAATCTGAGAATATGCCGAGGATCGAGCGAACCTGGCATATAGCGCCGCGTGCTTGGTATTTCCGACGACGGCACGTCACGTTACGACATAGTTATTCCGAAAATTTGCCGAACGTCGACAGGATCTCTCGCATACGCGCTTATATCACTAAATTACGTGCTGTTCGTCCTCTCGGCCGCGACCAGGAGGATAAGAATTTAAATATCGAGAAGATACCTTGGTCGTTAATAATTAGCTTGATTTATACGGTATTCGTAGAGACGTTAAAAAAAAAGAAGATAAGCAAACGTCTTGGTCAAAAAGAAAACGTAAAAACGTGCGAAAGTTAATTAACGATCGATGACCGTCGTGCACCCGTCGGAGAAAATACGAAGTAAGGGAAGACAAGCGTTCCGAGACATTTCGCTAAAACTTTTGAAATGATCTCATTTGCCGTCCCTCGTAATCGTACAACTCCAAGCTGATAATTTGATGACTTTAAACTTTGGCAGAAAAACTTTTTAACGAGTTACTTCGAAGAACACCGAGCTTTCCTTTCCCTTTTCGGTTTTTACCATCTCCTTTTCCTAGAAAGAGAGAAAGAGAGAGAGAGATTTCTTAGGCATCCCCAACATCGTAAAAAATTCACTTATTCAACGAAGCTACGATTAATCCAAGATCCTAAATAATTCGTACGATTGTGACGCGATCGGAAAAGCCTCGAGGGAACGTACAAGCGGATTCGCTTAAAGTATCACCTGTTGGTCCTTTCGTTCGTTGATGCCATGGATGCGTAGGCAAAGGGATTATTTTTGAGCCGGAGGAAATTTGACGCGATCGGTCGCATCACGGAGTCCAACCCTTACTCGTACTCTTTCGTCCGATTTAGCCTTTCGCCATCGTTAACGCTTAGCGCAAGCGTTAATGACGCTAAACAAATATATTCTCCTCGTTCTCCGTCAGAAGAGAGAGTTTCTACGTGAGAGAATTTTTATCGTCGCACCTGTTGGTCCTATCGACTTATCGACAGATTCATAGACGTTGCCAATGTCGCCATAATTCTTCAATCTCTATCTGACATTAATTAATACCTAATAGATAGTACCGATAGAAACGAAGACGTGCGGAGAATTTGTCCTTTATCCGATCGAAGGATCCCTATCGGTAATAGCTTTTCCTGCAAGAAGTAAATACGTTTTGTTCGCAGCAAATTTATTCGGCAAGGAGCGCCCCGATATCGGCATAAAGACTCGAGCGTTGCCGTCCACATTCATCTAGGCAGAAGAAGTTTATCGTCGCACTTGTTGATAACGCGACGAATAGAGCATTGGCAGGTTTATCACGCGTGCCGCACCGGCGTACCAAACGACAGTCCCTTATCTGAATGGTCGAATTCCGATTAAGCCGCGACGGGAAGGAGAAAATGAAAAAGAAAAAGGAACGATAGTCTCGACTTGCCGGCACCTGTTGTTCGCGTTGACTCTTCGTCACATTTTTCATCGGCTCCAAGATATAATATACCCTGACCTCGAGGCATTATCTTTTCCCGTATTCGCTCGACTCCTCGCTTTTCGTCGTCTCGGCTTTTCCACATTTCGTTCAGTCGTAGCGAATGTTCTTGGGCCGATCGTACCGAAGAGAGCGAACCGATGGCACCTGTTGAACTCTCCGCGATACGTTCGATGAATTATTCCCACGTCCTAACGTCGCGCGTTTCGCGACTTTGAGCAGCCACGCGTACTCCGCGTTCGCATCCACTAAGCATTGTCTCGTGAATAGAAATTCCAAAGAAAATCCATCAATTCGAAAGCTCGAGTCAGAAGCGACGAAGAATTTGGCAAAGAGATCGATATTTTAGAAAACGCTCTCGCGAAGGAGAACTTACGCGTATCTACGAGAAGTATATCTACGTACGAGTATATACCCAAAGACAAGTACTCCGAGTAGTATACTTTGGTAGGTACGAATGAAGGAAAATAGAAGAACGTCTCGATGAGTCCATGATTTGCGCGCGCGCGCGCGCGCGCCGCAATCGAGACCAACCATTTTCTGTCCCTACGTTCTTTTCTACGTTCTTCGAGGCGTCGCATACGTGTAGGCGAATCATGTAGTCGTTCGAACGAAACCAAAGGTTCGAAGGTAATTCTCTTCGTAATTCCTATCGAGCGTTCTCCTAAACTTAAGAGAGAAAAGATTTCGCGCTATCGCGAGAGATAAGTCATTATAGTCAGTTACACGCTGCATCGTCTAATTTCACTTACGGGAGTAAGTCTAAGTATACATAGGGCAACTGTAAGCTCCTCGAAAAGCGATTAATGTTACGTTTGTATAAGAGAAATTCAAGACCAATTATGTCGTTGGATAAAGATGGAGAAACGTCTTTCCATCCTTATTCATTAAAATCCTCTAACCGACATTTAACATCGTAACAAACTATCTCCGAATTATTCGTTCGAGTAGTACGCGTTATATGATTGTTCCAACTGGTAAATAATGAAATGTTTCTCGTTTAAATTCTCAACGTTCCATGATTAAATATCATTGATAAAGTTCGAGTCGGTAATAAGGCTATTGGACAACTTTTAATGAATCCCCATTGTAGAAAGACTCAAAAGAGAAATGGACGTTTTTGTCGGGCCATTTGTCGTGCCGTTTTTGTCGGACCGAGAAAAAAAAAGAAAATGAGAAAAAAAATAAAGGCAATTAAGACGAGTAAGAAAGAACGCAACTCTCGCAAGAAAGATCATCGGATAATCGTTAAAGAGAACGAGCGGCTGCGTAGGCCGAGATAAGTCAAGACGGTCTAATCCCCCATTCTCTCGCTGTTCTCAAACAAATCCTGCAAAATTCTCTACGACGAACGTCGTGAGCCAATAGGAGAGAATTACTCTCTACCAGCAAAATTCTGACCACCGAAAAATGTAAGCTCGTTCGCTCTCTCTAGTTGTTGATTTCTCTCGCTTACGGAGTATAAGCGGAGAAAAAAATGTATCTCATATCCAGAGCGTTCGCGAATCGAATGGAAACTAATATCTCTCAAATACATGTGAAATGTAAGGGCTCAGAAAGGTGAGGAGAACGCGATAGAGGGAGATGAAAGAGATAGGTGGTAGCGTGCAATCTTGCCACCTATAACCACCTACACGTCGTCGTTCTCATCGATCGGCCCGAGCAAAACCTTCCCCGGTAAGCCGCGCTATCCCCTTCGATCCACCTGCGAGGCTGTCCGCTTACCCTGTCGTGCGTTGGCGGTTCGACCGGCGGTTGGACCGACCGTCGTTTCCGTGCTCGGCCAACCACGTTTCATTTATTTTCATCGTGTTTCCTTTTCACTCGATTCTTCTAATTCGCGTTCGCCATCCTTCCTACTCTCTCTCTCTCTCTCTCTCTCTCTCTCTCTCTCTCGCTCGCTCGCTCGCTCCCTCGTCAGGCAACCTGACACCAATGTGATTCGACGCGAGCATCTCGTGCTCTCTGGAATTTGCTCTCTCTTTTTCTCTGATGTTCTTTCTCGCCACCCACGGAATTATTATTCGCGCGTCACCGGCAAATTGAATGCAAGTATTCGAAGGAAGAACGAAAAAGAGAAGAAAGAGAAGATGGAAAGGTAGGTAAGGGTGGAAATGATGGAAGGGTAGAGATGAGACGTGACTGGAGAATCGCCGACGCGTTATCTCCTTTTGCCGGAGAAAACGCAGAACTTAATGGGTTTTGCCTTCTCTCGTAGACGTCTGAAAGGAAGAGTCCGAAAGGAAAAGGAAAAGGAAAAGGAAAAGAAATGGAGAGAGAGAGAGAGAGAGAGAGAGAGAGAGAGAGAGAGAGAGAGCGAAAGGGCGCGACGACGTCAACGAGGGAAAAAGTAAGGGAAAAGATAGTCCCCTCGCGAGAGTCCACCGTGATTTTTATCGCGATACGTGACCCGTGCCAGCTACGTTATTTTAGAGATTCGCTTGGAGAGAAGCAGAGTCGACCCGCCGAAATTACATTTGTGTCGAATTAAAGCTCCTACTTTGTCTCGTCTCGGCCGACTCGTCCACGTCGACGTGACGCGATACGAGAGAGGGATCACATATGCGGACTTTTAAATTGGATGGAGACGCCTCATTTCGAGTAACGAAATAACGTCCGAGCAAAGGACGTGCCAGGAGATTCTCTCATACGGTCAATGGGCTCGAACTTGAAAAAGTAAGCGCCGTCTGCGCCCTCGCGAACAGAACAAAATGTGAAGCGTTCCTTCGTACAAGGGCCAAAAGAAGAATCCCTTTCAGTCTGAAACATATAAAGATAGCTAAGAAGGAACAGCCCCTCAACGGCAAAGTGTTTGAATTCGAGAGATTGAGAAGAAATCCAATTATGTCGCCAACTTCGAAAAGGTTCGGCCTGATTTTTTCAAGGATAATTTGTTTAACGATCGGTATTTCACGGGCCGGTCTCTGAATCGACCTTCTATCGAATTCGCTCGTTAGAAAATCGATGGCCTGCCGTCGCGTCGAATCGATGACTCTATCAAGAGAGTTACGTGAACTTTGGTTAATCCAAACGATTCTTTACCAAATCCGTAGTTACTTTCCGTAAGTTCGTTCAAACACGAGGACTACCGTACAGCTATCGACGCGAAACTTTATAAAAACGATCTGTATTTTTGATCGTAACGTTATCGGAAATAGGCCAAGCAAATGTCGGAATTACCTATATACTCGACGGCTGAAAAATATCCGTCTTTATTGGATTTCCTAACGGATCACCAAACTCGATCTACGATAACTTTCATACGCACGCTATTTCTTTGTGCGTTCACTAAGAAATATTTAGGTTCAAAAGCCATAAGAATCGCGGCCACATATAATAAACAAATAAAATTCTCCCCCATAGCTCTTGCTAATCGGTAATAGATAAGAATGATAATATGGCGCGAAAGGAGGATAAGTTTGAAGAAAACGCTTAAATTATCTTTTCTCGAGGGTCTACAACCTTCGAAGGTCACCGACGCCCCAATGCTAAAGGAGAAATTGCGAGAGATAGAGAGATCCTTGGATTTTCTTATAGTATAACCGTTATATATCGTCCGTTCCTGGGATGTGCTTACGAAAGCAAAAGACTCTTCGAGTGTCACCTGGAAGTAAACAAAAAGTGACGTCGTCCGAGGAATATAAAATACAATCTATCGGTACGAATATATCGCTACGAATCGAAGAGGTTTCGTAAACGTAGGGCATAGTTTTAACGCTCGCGCGAACATTGTGCCTCGCGATTTCTCGAATTGAATAGAGAGCAAAACTACATACTGGTAGATTTAACGCCATAGCAATGGAAGGCAAAAGAATAGGACGAAGAAAATGGTGGAAACGAAACCAATGGCGCGCGCTGCCAGCGTACACGTTGAAGCTCCGAATAAAGGGAGAGAGAGAGAGAGAGAGAGAGAGAGAGAGAGAGCATGCCTCTGGCTCCGGAATACAAATGGGAAGATGGCCATTGTTATAGGGCATCCGACTTGTGATCAAAGTTGCTGCGATTCTAGGCTATCTATGTTGCCATGGAAATGGAACGTCTTCGGCCGCTACCATCGACGATGAGCACAAGACGCAAGTCTGAATTGGGCTAAGACCGGCTTGGCAAATTCTACAAATGGAATTGTGGGCCGCCTTCGCTTCCGTTCGCGAATACGTCGAGAATACATCGAGAATACGGTGCTGCGACAATGTGTCTGCACCGGACGCGAATACGCGTCCATGTAGTAGATACATACATATTATATACACATAGACACATGCTCGTGACAGTGCGATCGAGGAGAATTACCGAGAACCAACGTCAATATTTGAAGCGGCTAAAGCTCATACTATTTGCCAAGACGTCTTTCGTCGACGTTCACACCGTCGACGATAATCTCGATTCCATTTAACACCGTTCAAACGTCTCGCGGATATAGCGTTTAGCGAGCCTAGACGTACGCATATCGTACCTCTTTTTATCGTACCTTTTCATATTCGTCGGCTATTTAATCGACGTTGGATAAAAATTTATTGTCTTAACGAGAAGAATGATCGATGCTGAATCGTACCGTTAAACGTACAAACGTACTTTTGATTTATATCTATTTTATACGAAGAAGCATAAAGGCTTATCCTAAAATCGATCGTCTATCTCATTAAGCGCAAAAAAAAGAACGGCTAAATGGGCCGCTTGCGGTATCGGCTCCGTTCTCTGCCATTGCTAATTACTTAAACGACCTGTGGGGCCACTCGCATTTCTAAAAAACAGAGATAACGCTCTATTCTCTTATCTTTCCTTTCTCTAAAGAATAAGAGAATAAGAAAGTATGGGCTGAATTAGGAAAAAGATGAAAGATGATTGACAGCGTAACAAAAAAAAAAAAAAAAAAAAAAAAAACACCTTTACAAATAACACCTAGTCGTTCCGATCTATAAGTATAGATGCACTTTATGTACGAGAGCCGATTAATCCTTCGAGTCAATTCAAATAATTTGCGAGTCGCAATATTGACGCGAGGAAGTACATAATTTGGACAAATTAACGCGAGTAGGGGAAAATTAATGACAAGGTGTGGTTAATAACGTGATGTAACGGAAAATGAGCATGTTCTATGAACGTTATCGAATAAGAGTCTCGACAATGTTTGCAGGAATAATTCGCGAGTACGACTGCGCGTGCGAGTTTGGACAAGCACGACGTTACGTCGACGGGCGTGTATTTTCATCGATACTATTTTCTAATGGCAAGCAAACCCCTTTCCTATCCCCTTCTTTCTACCGTTAAATATAAAAAAAAAAAAAAAAAAAAAACTTTTGCCACTTCCAGCACCCCAATTCTCGCTCTCGGTCACGAGCCTCTCGAACAAAAGGCAACTTCAACAAGATTGTATGTATTCTTTATGCGCCTATCGATCGGCTCGTTCGAAGCCGACCATAACCTTAGGAAAACCGACCATAACCACGTCGAGTAGGTGTTACCAACGCGTCCCTCTTTATTTCAGCCGAATAAAAAAAAGCTACGAACGGCTTTTCACCGAATTTTCATGTACGTCGTGTGAAAGGCGTGAACGAACGAGGATACGACGAGGAGACGAGCGAGAAAAGTCATTGGAGAGAATTAAAATGACTTGAACGTCGTCGAAGATCGCGAGCAATTAGTCAGGATAGAAGGAAAGGAGACGCGCTATAGGAACGAGGAGATAGAAAGCGGTATCACCTATTACCCTCTCTTACCGATTCGATAATTAGACCTTCAATGTCGGCCCCTACCTATTTCTACGTCTATTCGTTATCGCTTGCGAAACAATCGCAAGTAAATAATTGGATCGTTCCCATTGGTACACGTGAAATTCTACGTGAGCCGCACGAAATCCTATTAATTCGAAACTGCGGTCTGCGCTTACAATAAGTGCGGAATCTGTACATGTGTCGATTCATCGTCTGTCGTCTGCCGTCTGTCGTTATTCCTCCGTTACTCTCTGCGGATACGTGAACTGCAATTAACTGACTAAATAATAACCGATATAATTTCCCTTTCCCACAAAAACCTACCCAGCCACCCTATCTGCACAATATACGTAGGAGAGTAATAGGAAAAACGTCTAAACGTTCGCGCTAAAGCTTCTATAAAGAGGTTCTCTAAAGAGAATATCGTTTTGTCCGTTTGGAACGATTGTATTTCGCGTTAATGCAAGACCGCGATGCAGAGGCGCGCGCGCGCCGACGCGTTTAAAATATACCAACGTTAGCTCATATACATATAGAGATGACAAAGCATTACTCGCACATATTACGAGCTAATCGTCCTCTAACGAGCCTCAGAGATCTCGTTTCTCCTCCCGTACGCTCCTTCTTCCTAATTTAGACGGCGAGAGGCTGTACCGACAATGCTGTACGCTTTAACGAGTAAACGATCGTTAATTACTGTTGAAAATTGTTGGGACGCACGTTAACAAGCCCCAGTACTAATTCGAAGGAAGAAAATTATCCAAAGGGCGGCACGTCTATCTCTTCTATCGTAGAAAAGGTTTCTTCTTTGAAGAAATTTGTAAAAATTTCTATTAATTTTGGATCGATCGACGTATACTATCGACGATTCTACATAATTATATCCATAGATTAGACGTCCGTACGTGTATATATATATATATATATATATATATAAGCGTATTTTGGTAATTGAACGATATATCTTTATCGATCGTTAGTCGGCGGACATTGGCTACGAGGGGAACTATAGGGATCCTACCCTTAAATTTATACCCTTAATGAGTTAAATCAGAAGGAGGACGGGCGACGGTTCGTCGAAAGCGATGTTCCTGCAACGAGGAATGCCATTCCCCTTTGATATTATCGATTTCTCCCCGTGGTCGGGTTCGATCGTTCGGTTCGACCGATTCGTGGCTGATTAGGCCGACCAATCGGCAACTGCTAACACCGTACCGCATCCGTACGATCGGCCCCGCTATATATATGACGATTACGACACAAAGGTATGACGTATAAACGATGTATATATACCTTTATAAAATACCAATGTAAACGTCAAACGGTGCAGCTGGACAGAAAAGGGAAGGTATCGTATCGATAACGTAGCTTTCTCTTGGCGCGATCCTTTCAGTAGATCGGTTCAGATTCGGCATCGACAAATCGTCGACAAATGGGGTGTAGTCGGGGGAGAAGAACGAGACACGTCTTATATAGAAATTTTTCGCCAAACCCTCGAACGGTCGATTTAGCTCGATCGCACCTGCGGCTCTCTTGCGTTTGTCCCCTCTCTCTATAGGCGCTTCAGGATAAATTTTCATGGAAAGTCAACGCGAATCTACATTCCTTTTTCCAACGTATAGAAAATAGACTTTTATCGTTTTAGCCTTTCGTCGCGTTCCTATTTCACCAATATTTTCTCAACTCCGGCCTCTGAGTAACGTTGGGAATTTGGTGAAAAATCTACGACGAGTCTCTCGTCGTAAGGACGAGAACGCGCGTATCGTATTTTTATCGCGTAATTTACGTTGACCCGGTGTCCGGCGAATACTTGATTATCGACCAAAGTCAGAGATATGATAAAATGGTCGCGGGGAAAGGATAAGGGTATGAGGATGGCTAATACATTTGTTCCGGTTAATATTTGTCCTCGACTCGCGCAAGTCTTTACGATAAAATAGGCCATTCGACTCGCGCGAGTCTCTCCTACCTCCATCGATAAACATTCCAGCAAGCGTATAACGCCACTTTGAATTTCATATCAACCGGCCTTGTTTCTCTCTGTTTAGTACCCATATCGCACATCGTGGCACTGGTCGGAGATCCCACCTATCTTCCCTGCGACATATCAACTACCCACGAAGGAGATTCGGTACATCTTGTGCTCTGGTATCGCGAGGATCTTGGAACATCGGTTTACAGGTGAGATGCAATCAGTGTATACATATACCAACATGTACATACAAATACGCGCATTCTCTCCTTACTGTATTCTCTCTTACACAAATACATATACACATACATACCCTATCTATCTATCCTTCTATCCATCTACGAATGTACAAACTGGCGTCGGTCGTTGTCTCTATCGGTCCGCACCAGGCTACATACATCTCGTCGACACAATGCGAGATTGGTGGTCGCTTTTAACCGAAAATTGCCTTCGAACTCGATTTTCGTCTCGCATCGGGGATACATACCTATTTATATACCTACATAAGCGTGCCCCATGTATACATTTTATATATAAAGTGTATATATATATATATATATATATATATATATATATACATATACACTTTATTTATATATATACTCGCACACACGCACACACACATGTATCGCCAAGTCTTTCGGCGAACTAAACTATCTAGATGGTGTCTTCTACACCGTACAAAGCATTGAGAAATGAGTTTTCCAACTACTCATAATCGCGAACCTAAAAATAACTAGAGTCGCTCGGAGTAGCAACTTTTGGAAATAGTTGGAGAGTTTATGATATAAGCGCAAAGAGACACATACAAAGGTGGAGAGAACGCGAGAGAGCGAGTTCTTACAACATCCGCGATCGAGTAAGCACGTTAACTATGCGAAATATATAGTCATGGAATGCCGCAGTGTAATCGGTATCGCAAACTTGGCTCACGCTACCAAACAGTGAGTGTAATTGGTCCTAATTGATCCTATCTGAATAATGCCAAGACTGGAAACCTGTTACCATCGAATTAGCGATTAGGAGCGAGCGTTACGTCCAAAAATCCTCTTGAAAGCCAAGCTTTTCCTAGAATCTATAACGATATGTAGTAATAAATATAAAATTGAGCCTATTTCGAGATTGAAACATTTTCTATCTCGTAAAAAGAAAAATGAATTTTATAAGAGATGCTCTCTTTCAAATTTTTACATCCGTCAATACACGGCCATTCACCCGAACGAACAAAAATTCTCGATAATGAATATACTATTTTCACGCCTTATTAATTTCAATTTGAAGCTCTAGGAAAAGCTTTAAAACTCATATATGTAGAAACTACCCGATGGATTACGCGATTAAACGCGATTTCGTGCTTGCACGTCGCTAACACAGATATACTCGTACTTGTAATATACATATATAGTATAGATATAGGTACTCTCCCTCACACACACACACACACACACACATCGCGTTGTGCCATCCTTTAGTAAATTATCTTTAAATATTCTCCGTTGAAATTATCAAAATTTATTTCTCGTTGCTCTTCCTTTCCCTCGACACATTCGCACGCAAGAAAGGAACTTCCAAATTTGAGAATAGAAGATTGTGTGTGTGTGTGTTCGTTCGAGGCAGCTGGTCACGAGCCGAGACTCATCGGTATAATAAAGCGATTCTGTCGCAGCGTCGACGCCAGAGATCGAGACTTTGGTATAGCCGAGAGATGGTCGGACGACACGGTGTTCTCGAGTCGAGCTTACTTCATGCCAGACAAGAAACCGGCCGAGCTGGGCGTGGATCACATAAGGGAGGAAGACGCTGGTATTTATCGGTGTCGGGTCGACTTCCAAATCGGCCAAACGCGAAACTCCAAAGTCAATTTAACGGTGATAGGTAAGAACGAAACGATCTTTTGACAAATCTCTTTCATTTGCCTTAATCGTAAGAATATTTTTCTACCGACGAGGAAGGTAGCCTCGGAAAGTGGCTTCGATCGAATTCACTCTTTTTCGATCGAATGCACTTTCAACGATATATTCGCAAATCTTTCTTGAGTTTTTATTAAAAATTCGTATTCTTCCCCCGTCGTCGCCTTCTTTTTTTCTTTTTTTGTTTTTTTTGTCTTTTTATTTTTTTGTTTTTTGCACGCCGCGCGCGATATTACTACAGCTCTCTCCTTTTCCGGCTTTCTTCTTTCTTCCTTGAAATCTCTTAGGAACACGAAGGAAATACTCGGCTTCGTACCAAACGGATATTATTCGTCTGGTGTGAGATTTCAGTCTGAGATACATACTCCGAGAGCGTAACCGAAACGTTTGACATTTTTCCGCATTGGAAAGGTCGCGCGCGAGAGCTTCCAAGATGCAAAGGTGTTTTCAAAAGGGTTTTCCACGGTATAGTCGCACTGGATGTCTCCTACCTTCTTACAACGTTACAGTATGTTGCACGTTAGATATATGTGAACGGTCGTCCTCGCTCTCTCACGAGCCACTATAATCTAACAATACGTCTCTCGTCAGTAGACGCGGCAAACGGCAAAAGGCCAACGGTCTCGATTTATAGTCAACGTTCTGCAGTTGACATTTGTTGAACGTATGTATGCACGCATGGATCCGGTTATACGAGAACCTACCTCGGTATACGAAAAGAAAATATCTATCGCGTCTCTCGCGCACGTTTCTTCACGCGTTCGCATCACCTACCAGCGCATGCCTACTGCGTTTTTCCAGACGAAAGCTATGAAATATAAGCGATCGATGAATTATCTTTTTTATCGACAATCGAGGTCGGAGTCGCGTCGATATCTCGCATCCGAAACGTAAATCTCTCTTGAATTGAAGGAAAAATAACAGAAGAGAGAAGCCCGTACACTGGTTCCGTCTATCTTAAACGTTGAAACGTTTCTCGGATTTCTCTCGCGATCGAGACGTTGTAAAGGAACGAGATCTATACCGCGCATTGGTAAAAGAATGGCGGAGAACGTTGAGCGGGAGATGAACTACTCCGGCAAAAGAAAGGAAAGAAAGAAACATAAGAAGGGAAAAAGGGTACGGAAAAGGAAGAGGTTGTTATAACGCAATGGAGAGGGGGAGGAGAGTGAGTGAGAGAGAGAGAGAGAGAGAGAGAGAGAGAGAGAGAGAGAGAGAGAGAGAGAGAGAGAGAGAGAGGGAAAAAAGAATCCAATTAACAATCCCGTTCAGAAGTTATGGAGATGCCCTGGCCGAGCGTGCCATGCCGGTCTCGTTGCTTTTTCTCCTCGGCATGTGCCGAGGAATTTTTCCCGCGGGATAATTAGCCCCTTCTACCGAACAACCCCCAACCTCACCCGGAGCATGCTCCGAACAGAAGCCCTCGTAAACGCGAATGTTGGTAAACCTTTTCCAGATGAACGGCAATTAACGTGCTTTCTCCGCTCTCCTCGGGTACCCTCCTACTCTTTCGTCGTACTTTGCTAAAATTGCTAGTTGCACATCGGTCTCTCTATCTTTTTCTTTCATTTCTCTTCCCCTCTCTCTCTCTCTCTCTCTCTCTCTCTCTCCCGCGTGTTCGCAAGGCGCGTGTCGTTTTCGAAACACGTACGCGCATAAACGCGAACGGAAGAGAGCGACCTTTCGTTAAAAGCGAAAAAGGAAACGGCGTTAAAGAGAGCACTCGAGGAATTTAAATCGCGCTTCTCGCAAGCCAGCAGCCGTCTGTGTCAAAGAGAAAAAGGAAAAAAGAAAAAAAAAAAAGGAACGAGAAGAGGGGGCACGAGTGCGAGCGGATAGCGATGTCACGCCAGAGGATGTTTTCGAATACCTGACAAGACGCGTCCCTACTCTCTTTCTCTCTTCACTCATTTTTCAACCTCCAATAATCTCTCTTATTAAATATTTGTTCTTTTGTTGTGGCAAAGTCCATCGCAAGGAGTAACGAGGAGGTATAAATAAATGTATCTGCTGCGAGGGATCGACGACGTTACTCGTTATCAAATCGAATAGCCTATCTTCGAGTAATCCGATATTAATTCGATGATGTTCGCGTTTGGGCTCGAATAAACTATCGCTTCTTCGCTAAAGGCCCCATTTAATAATCCAACAATTGGTTCATGTTGGTCCATCCAAAGTAGCAATCATAAAAGTATATATCGACGTAAGGTGATACTAATAACGGTTAAATATATATTATAGAAAGCAAACGAGCGAAACAGAGTAATATGGTCTAACGACGGAATAAGGCCGGAAGAAGGTTCGAAAAATAAAAGGAAGAATCGAGGAGGCGAACCATCGAGAAAGTCTTTTACTTTTCAAGAGAAGAATAAGAACGAAGAGTCATAAATTGGATCGAAAAGAATTTATCAAGTTCGTTACTTCGAAAAACGACGCTTGCCACCGCGTACTTCTTGCGGCACGTCACGATATACGATAGACATCGATTCTTCGATTTTCAAGAAGCTTTACAAACTCCTTTCTCTGTGAAACGCGAGAACTCTTTCGTGGGAACGACTCGCGTTATAATCGTAAATCATGTTCGAACTTGAATATATAACGCACATCTTTTTCACAATCAACTGTCCCACGGATTTGTGAAATTTTACGTACTATAGACTTTGAAATTTACCTATTTCTCTTTTCTCGTGTTATAAAATGCGCTTGATCACCCGTCAAAGTTACGAACGAAATCGCCTTTCCGTAACAAACTTTTGGCGCTATCCGTTGACGTTAGGATGAGGGTTAGTTAGGACGCTGCCGAAGGAGGGAGTTGGGCCGCGCGCGCGATAGAGAGAAAAGAAGAAGAAGAAGAAGAAGAAAGGAAAAGAGGCGGTAACCTTTCGCTCGAATTGTTCTCTCGAAAGGTAATCGATCTGGATTTTCTCTCACTCGTCTTCTCGACCTCGAACTTTTAATAGTATTTTACTTTTAAGTACACTTCCGTCCGGATGATGCATCTGGTGCAGACGCGAAAGACGATCGAGTCGAAATTCCCTCGTAGAAAGTTAATAAGAAAAAAGTGGGGGACGAGAGAGAGAGAGAGAGAGAGAGCGAAAAAACGACACGTAAAACCATGTTCGACGAAGGGATTCAACGGGAACGACCTTGCTCCTTCTTTTTTTTCCTCTTTATTAAACGAGAGCTCTTTTTCTTTCGAACAATCAGAGCGACTCTCGATTCTCCTCATTTTTCTCCTTTGCTATGCCATCTCTCTCTCTCTCTCTCTCTCTCTCTCTCTCTCTCTCTCTCTCTCTCTTCCCTTCATTTTCTCTTTATCGATCATCCGCTTTGATGAGCGAAATTGACTGTGAAAATATATAATAGAAGAGACGTCGAGCCATTTGCAAAATTGGAAACACTCGATGGAAATGTACATTCCTGTTGAAGATGGAAGTAAATATGAGCTAGAATACGATCGAGTTCGTGCTTTCCAACTTGTCGACATTTCTATGAAGTGCTTGCGAATGAAGATCGAAAAAGTTAATTGTAAAGCGACAGGTGCCCGGCTAAAGAAATCTCGCGTAGAAGAACTGTCTCAGCAGTTAGAATCTTGAGGGATCTATTGGAAATGATTGGCCAAGATTTAGTGTATTAGATAAGATCGACTCGGTTTATGTGAAACAGAAAGAAACGGTTCTGCCGTTAATTCGCATTTAAAAAGTACTTTTACCGTTATAAATGCAATCACGTTCTAGAGAAATAAAAGGAAAAAGGATTTTGCTAACGAGAACGGGAAGAGCATCGTCGATGGACGTACGAAGTAGTTTGGAGAAGCGGACGTAGTTGAAACGCCGCTTGAAAATGTACTTGAATTCAATTGTTTGAAAGTAGCTCCGTAATCGGTTCGCTCTCGTCGTTACCGACGGTAAATAGAAAGGCCGCACCTGTTAGAAATCACGGAAGAAGGTCCTCGTTCGCGAAGCTAGGGAAGATCCGAGGACGTCACGTTGAGTTTTCGAGGAAGGAAATAATTACGCTGTTCGAGGTACACTCTGCCTCAGAATTCTCTCTCTCTCTCTCTCTCTCTCTCTCTCTCTCTCTAGGTCCTTACGTACGTACTTAGATACGTACTTAGATACGTACTTAGATACGTAGGTTGTTTAAATGGCCGAATATCTCGATCACATTTTGCGAGGAAAAGTAAGTCGTTCGAAGGAGGAAGTAGGTAGAAGGTAGGGTTTAGAAAGAGAACAAGGACGTTCTTTCGATTAGCCGTAACGTGCACGCGAATAAATTTCACGAACGGATAAAAATTTTACGAACGGATAAAAGTTATCGTTGATGAGTAGAACGCGATCCACCGGATGAAATTTGGGGGAAACATTGAGAATAGGAACGCGCGCAGCTATCCAAGCTGAATAATAAAAGCGCTTTCGGAGCTCTTGGGTATCTCGGTGATCAAATTTCGTGGCGGAAGGATGGGAAAAAAAAAAAACGAGATCGATCGATTTATCCGCTCGAAAAGGGAAGAGAGGAGAAGAGGTGAATTTGTCGAAATTCACGCGTGAACACGCAAGAGAGATGCGCGAACGAGTATCCTCTCCCTCCCTCCTCTCTCTATCCATTTATTGGTCCATCCAAACAAACTCTCGGAGGCGATAGCAAGAACGACGAATAACAAACGAGTGGTCCTTTGTGTATCGAATATATCGAAAGTTACTCGAGTTACTCGCTAGAAGAACCGATAAGTCTATCAATCATTTTCCAACGCGAATTAAAACGAACACGCGGACTTACTACTAATCGACGACATTCTTGAAATTCCTTGGTTCCGCTTCCGCGGAACCTGATAGGAGCAGAGAACTAGCGGAGAGAACAAGCTCGCAAAGAGTCGAGTTACATGGCGCAAACGTCTGTTGCAAACAACCGCAAAGGGAAAGGTAAAAGTTGAGAAAATTCAAGCGCACGGACCTGATGGCTGCAGTTTCGCCCTTAAACACTTGCATTACGTCATTTCAAATCTATGCGAGGCAAAGTTTGTCAAAAGAACCCATACCCGTCGGCACTGCCTTTCGAGTTTGTCATTTCTCTTTTCCTCAATGGCAGGTATAGCTACGCGGTATTTCTGGCACGTAATATGGTATGACGACGCGAGACTAGTCGAGAATAAATCTATTCTTATGTATCCTCATTTTCGAGAGGAAAATAATAAAGAAATCGAGGTCGAGGAAGGCCAAAGAACAGAAGAAAATGGAAATGAACGCGTTCGAGCTATCGCGAGTTTCGAATTATCGCGAACGTTAGACGTAAAGTATAACGTCGACGACGACGACGTTATCGATAGAAGCAAGTTGATATCCACTATTACTAGTGCTCTTGCTCGTTTCCTTAACGAGCGCTCTCGTGGCAGCTGAATTGGCAAAGAGAGTCGATGACGACTATTCGCGTATAAGCCGCGCTAACAAACGAGCAGCCGAGCTTACGCTGCTCCGAAAAAAAGAAAAAAAAAAGAAAAAAAAACAAAGGCTTACGTCAGCCCGCTCGGACGGACAAACTTTAATAATTCGCAATAATTAATATGATGCATCCCCGCGAAAAAAAAAATTCTTTCTAATCCTTCTTATCCTAATATTCTCGGTATAATTCGGTAACCTCGAGGAAATATCAATTGCTATGTCGACGTTAAAATATCTCGGTGGTGATCGGGTTCTTAAAAGTGGTAGCGGTATCGATGATCCTCCGACGAATACTATCCTCAGGAATGCCAACTGACGTGCTGCATAAAATGCACAAATTGCGTGTCTGTCGAAATTAACGAGCCGCGATAGCGACGCCCGTCGAAATCATAAGAGCGAGAAATGCGCTTTAGCACGCTCGACTTCGTTATGGAAATTTGGATTTCATCTCACGGTGCATTCTTGTAATATTCCAATCATTATTAATAAAGCAGCCACGCACTTCGCACCCGGATGCGCGTAATTGCAAACAATTTTCCTGGATTAATCGCTTTGTTCGTGGGAATGCGGTCGGCGCGATTCGGTAATGCTATTAAAAAACGATGTATCAGCTTTCTTTCTTTATCACTTTTTCTCCTCTCGGTTCGAGAACAGAAAAGAAAAGTAAAATTGCTTAAACGTTTCCAAGTGAAATCAACGGGACGGCACCGGCAATGACAAAAGGGGAGATAAAAGCGACCGAAAATGACCGAAGTTCCGATCGAAAGACCGATCTCGGATCGGTTTCGATTTACATAGAAGGAATAATCGCGTATCGATGTCTACAGAAGACGCACAGAAGCGCGTTAATTATTATTTCGCCGTTCCCTTTGTCGGCCTGTGTCTCTCTGTATTTCAAGTTTCGAGCTTCGCGAGACAATTACTTGGTCGTCGATTAATCGCCTCGTCCGAGAAGGGAGGGGAAAATTTCCCGAAATGAAAATATTTTTCTTAAAGCCATAAAGGATCAGATCCATTCGGTACGGTCTTCGGGACTAATGAGAAAGCGCTTCGAGGATACATCTCGTTTGCTCTTGAAATCTACCACGCTGGAAGGAATGAAATTTCGATCGTCTTTATCTCTCCTTCTCCATCCAATTCCGTTGTGGACGAATTTCATCTTCCATCCGTTTCCATCGGTCGGGGATTCGCGAATCTCGCCCTACATCTGAATCAACAACGTTGAAAGGTACTTTTCCCGAACACGATAGGACAATCTTATTTCATCGAATAGACTTCGATGGTAGAAACACACGGGAGATAAAGAATTGGAGAAAGTTGGAAGAGAGGAAGAAAAATGAAAGGGAAAAACACGTTCGGTGCTCTTCCACGTCCTTGTTCGTGCAAACGCTACGATGCTTACCGCGACATTAAATTCCATTCATAGATCCTTTCCAAAAGACTTGGAAATACTTGGCAAAATTCCACGACGCGGTAAACCACCGTCGTCTCTTTCCTTTTCCTACTCGTCCATTCGAGTGAAAAAGAGTGAGAAAGAGAGAAGATTCGATAACGGTTCTCACGATTCGCGACTTTTTACGCTCTCGGGAAAGGAGACACTTTTCTCTCTCTCTCTCTCTCTCTCGCATGTGCTTCGAGATCTTAACGGGAGAGTTAGGAAGGACGGTACGAAATAACGTGACAATTGCGGAAAGGAATAAAAGAAAATAAAAGAGACAAAGAACCACGAAAGAAACTCGATCATCTCGTTTCTTTTCTCGGTTCTCGAGCGCCTCGCTCCGAAAGGATAACAAGAGATTAGAAGGGGTTTAGAAGATACGATCGAGCGAGGTAGAGAGCGAGAAGGAAACAAAAGTATTAGTAAACGTGGCCTAAGAAAACCAAGAGTTTCCGAAGAGTGGATGGGAAACCGAAAGAAAAATAAAAAAATTAAGAGAGAGAGAGAGAGAGAGAGATATGGAGCCGATTTCGACGTACGTTTAATAAGAGAAGACCTCCTCGCCAACCGATTCGGAAAGAAACGTAAAAGAAAAAGGGCATACCGTACAATCCCATAGTATGAAATTTTGCTACACAGAAAGAACTACGGACTAAGATCGGAGTAGTTTGCCTGTAGGGTGGTGAATCAGAATCTGGCAGGTACTCGTCTTCCTCTTCTACTAGCACAAAAGGAACCAGTACGAGACGACGATTCTCTTTGTGTCCGAGGAAATGCGCCAGAAATGGTTGTCCGTGCTAGCGAAGGAGAGAAAGTGCCGAAGCAATTATCGTAATGGCGGTCTTCAAACCGCGGAACGTCGCGAAATTATTACGACGTTGAACGAGGGGCGGTACGTCTCTCAAGAAGCAGGAGCAAAAGATAGAAGAATGATCTTTGATATTCAGCTCCTTCGTCGGAGATACGATCGCTGGAATCACATATGCGTTTCTCTAACGAAAACGAAGATGGCCGTCCTCCTCTCGTAACGTGAATTAGAGTATCGACTTTTTGCAATTGTAATTTCTCCATCGCATTACCAATAATACCAGCTCGATACCGCTCGATGCAGTTTTCTTTTCCATGCTATCGCGACGGCACTAGGTACAGGTGGCTGGCTTCTATGAACTAGACGTGCGCGATATCGATTTCAGATTTCAATTTAATGCCGTCTCACGATATCCGAAGCATCCGAAGATCTTCCAATACCAATTTCGCGTTATCGGACTTTCGCTTGATGGCGAGCGACCGAGAGAGAGAGAGAGAGAGAGAGAGAGAGAGAGAGAGAGAGAGAGAGAGAGAGAAAGCGCCGAATGCAGAGGCCTTTTCATAGATGCACGACTGGCGCGACCGTGAATCTTTGCTTTTTTTTCTTTGCTAATACCACGTGCGAATATCTACGTTCTCGTATCCGTCACTTTTCAGTTCCACCTCACAGAATCGTGATCGTCGACGAAAGAGGCATCGCACGGGACAAGACGGCAGGACCCTATGCGGATGGCGACTCCTTGCGGCTCTACTGTGACGTGTATGGCGGTAAGTAAGAATACTTAGACACACAGGCAGAATAGATATGCGAGGACTCATCAATTTGTGATGTTTCCAACGAAGAAAAGAAAGAAATATTATATCTCGTATAATTTGAACGAATACAATTTCTATGATATGTTTCCTTCACAGGCAAGCCACCGCCCACTGTGACCTGGTACCGTAACAACAATTTCATGAATAACAAAACGATGAACGTACGTAGCGGCGTGACGCGCAGCGAGATCGTGATAAAAAATTTGGGACGAGACGACGTTCTCTCGGAGCTGACCTGCAACGCGACGAATAATAACAGATCGCTCCCGCTGTCCTCGACCATTCGACTGGATATGAATTGTAAGTATCTATCCGCTCGAAGCAATAAAACAAAGCGAACAAAAGAGTCGCGACGCGACGCTTCGCTCAAGTAGATACGCTGAATGGACGACTATAAATATTCTCTCGGCGATTCAGAGTCTTTTCGCCTCTACCGATCGACTCTAGTTCCGACTCTAGTTCGATGTATTATCGAAAAATCAACCTTATATTGTGTCTTATATTTTATTCATTTCAATCGAAACATTTTCTTCGAATATTTTTAATTATAAGCAGAATTTTCAACTTTAGATTCCATCGGCCAAGAAGAAGAAGAAGGATAAAGTTTGGTAAGCAAAAATCAAAACTAAAAACGCATTTATGACGAATAGACAAGTGGATTACGCGATGGCAGATATCGTAGTGCGAACGAACAATCGTAGAAATACCATATCGCTTTTTCACAAGAGCGAGTTACGGTCGGTCGAAGAGCCGGGTATTTCGATGGTACTTTGTTATTGACATGCTATCGGTACGCTGGGTGATGTTTATCGGGATAACAGAAAAACCGATGGTCATTTTTCTAGCTTCACCTGCGAGCTCGGCGAGAAAAACACCGACAGACAGAGAGAGAGAGAGAGAGAGAGAGAGAGAGAGAGAGAGAGGGAGAGAAAGAGATATACGCCGCCGATCAAGATAGGAGATTTTTCGGCTGGCTATACGCCGTTCGTCAAGTTGCCTTTAAAGCGTCGAAAGCGAGTGGCTAAACGTGACCAAGCTCGAAAGCGCATTTAATCTCGACCGCAGCACGCTGCTATTATGAAAAGATACATCTACCTCGACCTGGTGTCCACATAAAAAGCTGTTATCGTACGATCGTGCTATAAACTTGCTCCCTTAATTTATGCAACGCGTTACAGTTTCTTCGTATAAGACGAGAATATCGTCCATTCGAAAGCGTTCCTACCGTTACAGTGACTATTACTACCATTGCTACTGCTGCTGCTGCTGCTGCTGCTATCGCCAATGGGGAGACAGAGAGAGAGAGAGAGAGAGAGAGAGAGAGAGAGAGAGAGATCGCGCAGATGTTATCCTGTAAATCTTCCTAACACTACACATACTGGAGATCAAATAGCTTGGTAGCGGTGTGATACGCACGTTATGTTACAAGTAAATCAAGATGGACGAGACACAATACATACCCGTAGGTGGAAAAGATAGACTCTTACGTATACTTGCTTCTACCCTCGCGCTTAGGAAAGCTTCGACGATTCCCCTTGGGTGCTTTGTATTCTTGAAGAGAAACGTGTCTTGTCCCTGGTTACAGTGCGTAAGAGCCGAGCGAGTAAAAGAAACAGACGAGTAAAAGAAAAACGGTGAAACCAAGGGAAGTGATGTTTCGTGCGATCATTAAAGGGCGAATAATATCTCTGCGACTGAAATTCACTCACCCCCTGCCCACTCACTCATTCACTCACTCACTCTCTTTCTCTCTCTCTCTCTCTCTCTCCTCTCTCTCTCTCTCTCTGCAAAGTGAATTCCATTATCTCGCGCCACCAACCCTTACATCTTCGATAACGTTCGATAGCAAATACCGCACCGCGTTTTATCACACCGCCAACGTTTTATCAGTGCCCACACGTTAATTCCGTTGCTCGAGAAAGGAACGTTTTACGATACCCATATTCGCCACGCTACCTTTCATCTTCTTCTTTTTCCTCTAAGCGAAGCAACTTGATTATCATTATTATCATCATCATCATTGTTGTTGTTGTTGTTGTTGTTGCCGCTACTGCTGCCGCTGCTGTTATTGCTATTGTTGTCATTATGTCGCTTTTTCATGGCGAATACATTAATGTTATCAATTCAATTGTCGTGCTCCGTTAGCTACATCAATGGAAAACGAATAAAAATGAGGATAATTGAAAAAAAAAAAAAAAATAAAGACAATGGACGAGATGAAGAATGTGCGACAAAGAACAAAAGTAAATATACCGTTTGCATGAGACCATTAAAAATGTGTGGACAAAGCGAGGAGTTGAATGGCGAAAGAAATAATCTGCTACATCCAACACGGCTTTCGCATTAACTAGCGATTAATTGAACGACCGCGACCGGAGGCTTTTACGCGATTTCGACGTGCGAGTAAAAGCGATCAAAGTTTATACGCTATTCGCGCAACATTGAAAGAAAACGATTTAATAACGTACGAGATAACCTTAAATACGCTCGATGCGTATTTTGCGAATAAGAAGAATATATGAAAATAAAGCCGTCCAAAAGATTTTCCGTTTACGCTACCTATTTGATTAAACGTTTATGTTCTTGCACCAAGATGCTTTTAGCAAAGTTTCAACACGAATCAAGAGTTAACGATAAGAAAAAGAAGATATGATAAAAATCGTAACATATTTATCGGCTTCTTCATATAAAACTTTATAAGAGATAATAATTTACAATTAGCCACGGTTCGAATAAGCGTCGTTTTATTTCGACGATTGATCGAGATAGCCTCGCTAATGAAATCTAGCTAAATGAAAACGCAGAGTGTTTGATGATGATTCGTTTAGGTCAGATTGTATAGGAACGTAGAGGAGGATTAAATACGCGAGTCTTTATTTTCGCGACGTTGGGAATGATGCTTTTCCGTCTTTCAAGAGTCATCGTTAAAGAGTCCGCAAAGCAGTAGTTTCTCCTTTAAACGTGCGATCCTTCGTGCTTTTTCAAAGTGCTTATTCGGGAGATCGAGATTGCATTGGTCGACAATGCCTACGCTAATTGGAGCGCGACTCCTACCGATGCGAGAAAAGAAAAGAGGGAAGCTATTAGAATAACGTACACAAATGATTTCTTTATAAATGACACTTCCCTCCTAGCAACACCTTGCTCGTCGACACGTTAAGTAGCTGCATTTAAAGGGAAAGACAAATTCAAAGAGAGCGACGATTCGACAGTAAAGGAAAAAAAAACGCATCTTCCTGTTAATTCAATAAAAATAACGTTTCGTTCTGATATAGTTCGAGACGCGATAACATATTATCTCCCCAGAAGCAAACCTCCCCGTGATTTTGCGTTTCGACTCATTCGAAACATTTTCGCATGTACCATTTCGATATATTTTATAGAATATTGACCGACGATCGGAATACGTTTTACCGATCGAACGTTTACACGTTATCCATATGTATCCATGATCGATCTATGCGTCAGGTACAACGAACGATACGATAAAGAGAAAGAGAATTCATAGAGGATTATGGAATAAAGAGGAACCGTTGATAAGCCGCATCGTCGATGTGCATGTACGATGTGCATACGGTCTCCTCGTCTCCAGTTGAAAAGTAAAGTCAAAGACACGTGGCTGGATCTCGGCGATCTCTCGAATAAGAAGAAGAAGAAGATCATCTGCCGGAGACTCAGGGAATCGCGACGATGCTTGAATTTCATTATCTCCTGGAAATTGAATTTCGCCGATCAATTACTCGATTCGAAAAGAGGAGCAAGGAAAGGCGCGTGCAAGATGAATGCGGGCATCGTTCCGAGCGCGGATTCTCGTCCGCAAAAAAATCTTAATGGCTGCGCTGGAACGGCTGATCCGTCTCCTATTTTTTAAGAAAATACACCTATCCTTTCACTCCCTCTCCACATATTATCATATTTAGGCTCTCTCGTATTTCCTAAAAATGTCTTTTTTCGAGCGAATTATTCTTCGCGAACGGTATCTACGATAAGAGAAATAAGCTCGCCGACTTACAAAAGCCAAATTTAGCTATAATAACGTCTACCCGAATTAGCGCGCGTTATTATTTAGAAACACGTGTACCGCGCTATTAATAGAAGAATTAATTATATCGCATCGAGGCTCCTCGTGTATCGTATAGAGGCCTTTCTGAACACTCCACCTTCCAGAGTAATTCTACGCATTATCTTTATTTATTATTGCCACCCAGCTTATATACGTAACAACGTATTACATAATATGCACGTACGTCCTTGGATATGCTTATATACTTGCCTTTGCAATGCGTATGCATACGTATGCAAATGCAAGGTTTATACGCTCGGTCGAATATACACGGAGGGTCGAAGCGTCGAAACGCAGGCCGCTTTTCATCGAAGGATCCTTATCCGCAAAGTTTGGCTTTCATTCGCTTTGCAATTCAATTCGTTGAATCTTCCAAGGATATATCCTTCTCCACGTTTCGCTATCATTTTCGACAATTTCGATCGAACGTAGATCGGTATTTTCCTTTCCTAGCATAGGAGGAAATGTAACGAAATCATTATTTCAACTTGCAATTTGTTATCTCTTTCTTACGCTACGTCGTGTCACCTCAAGGTGTTTGCGTGCACGGTATATCTCCAAGATTTAACGTCTCTCTCTCTCTCTCTCTCTCTCATACGCATACACGCATACACGCATACACGCATACACGCTCTCTCTTCATCCAACTCTCTGTGCCAACCGAGAGTTGTCCGACGGGACGATGAAACAATTACTTTGCTCGCTACTACGATATCATCGCGTTGGATTATCCGTACGACGTGTGCACGCATGAGATGATCGAGTTATGAATGATATCTCTCCACTCGCCCGAATATAACACTTTATATCAATTTCCTCGCGTTCATACTCGATACCATCTTTTCCCTTGAGTTTCCTTCTCCGAATGAAATGGGAGAGAGAGAGAGAGAGAGAGAGAGAGAGAGAGAGAGAGAGAGAGAGAGAGAGAGAGAGAGAGAGAGACGAGCAATTATCATAGAAAAGCGAAGAGATAGACAGTATCTAATGTCATAAAATCAAAACCGTCGAGACAATAGAACATTGTCCATAGGGGATAGTCAATGTTGGAATTATCAGACCTTTTAGAATTTTCCTTAGACACGCTTCTTAGAATTTTTATATTATAAAATAAATATTAGCGATATAATGGGAATGCGGACGATAGAAAAATAATTTCACGGATTTTTGATCATTTCATCTCGCATTTATAATATTTATGCAAACTCGAAAGGTCCTGCACGAGTTTTCTCCTCGAAATCATCTCCGATCGTAATTCGTTAAGAAAAAGTAAGACGTCGAAATTGCCCTCGTCTCTTTTTCCTTTTAGAACGACCGAGACCAATGGTTGAATCAATTCCGTCGATTAATAACTTTCAATCGACAGAGAATCGCGTATTTGAAGAAAAGGAAAAAATCTTCAATATGAGCGATTTTAAAGATATTGCCATTCGGTTGCAATTCGGTAAAAGTAAATTGAACTTGAAAAAGTTTAAAGCAAAAGTTAAACTCTATGTTTCTGTTAAAAGCAGAATTTGAAGAACATTGTCTTGAAAGAATTAAATAGAAAGTTTAAGGCGACGATTTACGAGGAAACGTATAATATAATAATAATTCGCACGGAATAGAGACGTTTCCGAGCGAACGAAACACGTTGTATAAGTCGTGTATCGTTGGACAAGTCGAGGGAAGGTAAAGCTGACGCGTGTCAGTGGTAACCGGCGCCAGGTGGCAATAAATATTGCAACTACTCTCGTATTCCTAGAGAAAAAGTCTGATGCAAGGAGGAAAGGGAATGGAGCATCGGGAATATTTCTTGGTCGGCGTTGATCCATGGCGTCCTTTTAAAAACGTAACATCTTTCCAACTCTCTCTCTCTCTCTCATCCCCTCGGCCTCTCGCTCTCTGAATGGATATCCGGCATCGTTGAATAGACCTTCTCCCTCTTGCTCTCGCTCCTCGCTCTGTCAAGAGACTGGCCTGAATTTCTAAGCGAGGAAAATGTTACCGGTGTGCGACGGACATGAGGAACAGAAGCGCGAAAGCTTAGCCTTAGGCGGTAAGGATGACTGCCGAGTGCGAAGACGACTACCAAGACGTCTAGTAGGAGGGCGGAACGCGGATAAAAAGGCCGAAGAGGATCGACGTAGCGTTGGAAAAGAAAGGACGGACCCTACCATAGAGAAGCTTTTCAGCGTAAAGTCGCGCACTCACGAGCGAGATGTACTATGTATACTATATGGCAAGTACCTAGTTACATACGTCGGTAGGTAAGTACCGTATACACGGCTCAACGTCGCAACGAGAATAAATGTGTATCCCTTGCATTGGGATATCGGGGCGTGCTCGACGCGACGAGGGAACGAAGCTTTCTCTTTCCTTTCAAAAGAGCACATTTTGCGGTTTTATAAACGATACCGTCTATTCCAAACTCCTATAACAACATAGACCAAAATTATCGTCAGGCGAGGATGTGTGACTAGGGGATTTTCTTACTGCACGCTCGAGCAACGATTATAAATTTGTATGTGATTCAAGTTGAAGCGTATGAACAGTCGCATCCAATGCCTTTTTATCCATTCATTAAGTACTATAAGTTTCAAACAGTCAAGATAATTGCGTATTAAACGAACGTTCCGGCGAAACAAAGCGAATGACTCGATGAGTCGAGATAGTTACCGAATTACAAATGTCGTGGTGAAATTCTATCCGCTAATTCCACTTGGTTCTCTCCGAACCGAATACCGAAGGCACTCATCCTAATTTACAGTCAACAAAAGCGTCGATAAATCAATGAAAATGAATGCACTATGCCGCGGACACGGCGCGGCGACGAGATGAATTTCTCGATAAAGTATCTCGAGCGTACGAGAGAGAGAGAGAGAGAGAGAGAGGCGATAGAGAATGTAGAAAACTAGATGGCAAATCGACGTTGAAACGAGTTTTATTTCATACATCAAGTATAGGTGTACGCGTATGAGAGATATTCGAAATCCCTTTGTACGACTAACCCCAATTGTTTGGGAACGGCACACGTTCGATCCGTCTTCTCGTTAGACGACAAACCGCGCAGTTATAAGTCTTTCTGAGGCGGTATAAAGATTATATTAGAAACGAGCCCATGCAAGAGACGAAGGTAAAAAGAGAAATATACAAGCGATTCTCATAAAGCGCGAAAGGACGATTTAACTCGTAGCTACAGATTATCCTACGTTCCACGGTAATTCGAACAGCATAGAGAATTACCCGCGTGACCGTACGCTCCTGCTTATCTGCCAGAGTTTCCACAAGGGACGATAACATTCCTGCTCGATATCGATTTAAACACGCCAAATCCAAAATAATCTTTCGTTTATTTGTGGTCGCTTTCGACCATAAAATATGTATCCTATCCGGAATCGAACGATCCTGCGAACCCGAACAATGCTTGCCCTTAGAAAATTTCTATCTATACCTAACTAAGATCGTTAACCACGTGAGTAGGCAGTTTGGGAAAATAACGTTGCCAGTACCCTTAACGACGTTCACATATTTTTTTAAGAGCGCGCTCAGGTCTGGCATATCAGCAAAATTCGCTTCCACACACACACACACACAGAGAGACAGAGAGAGAGACCTTCGGAAAGCAATAGGAGCTAATCTCGTACAAAAGATTTTTGCCACTTTTACAGGGCCGCTCTTACAGATACACTGTGGTAGACTGTCCTAAATTTTAAGCACGCTGCAGAGGCACGTACGAGGTAGAACAAGTGCTTCGGAACAAGGTTTCCTGCATATTCTCTCCCACACACGCACATAGGCACACTCTTCTCGTATCCCTTCTACCCCAATCTGTACTCGAACCAACCTACAGCTCAGGCAGACTCTCGAACGGGGTACGCGTACCGGCTGTTTGTATAATACGCGTGACAAATCCCGCGTTAGCCGGAATCGCGGATTAATGAACGGCCTCGTTATACGCGACGCGAACCGCGCTTGTTTATCGTCGACCGTTCTCTGTCGGCAGCACCGATGCGACGTACACTTGAAAATCGATAACCATTAGCCATGCATAGATTCGCTAGGTCGTACAGTCGCATTGTACACGACATAGAGCCGCTTTAACGAAAAACACGCGTAGTATCTCAAGGACGCGTAGTATCGGAAGGAGAATGATTTTTATCAATATTTCGTTTCCTCGAACATACCACATTCACTTTCTCTCTCTTCGTCTCGCATCGTCTTTCTTCATTTGCCGGTTTCCATCCAATATTCTCTTGTCCTCTTTCTAGAAACTTTTTTCTTCCTCGTAGATGGCACACGCCCTCGTGGCTCCTATAAAAATGGGAATCGTTCGACGCACTCTCACGGGACTCAATCTCGTTCCTTCGGAAAAGTACGTATCTGAAACGTACGACGGAATATGTACCTTGTCTCCTAACACATTTCTCTTTTTCATCGAAGCGTCTCTTTACGACGATAGACGATAGAGTTCTTTTGAAATATCCAACGGAGAACGGTTCTTTTTGTTCGAAGAACAAAATCACGTAAAAAAAATCACGTAATATTAACGGAGAGATCGATCATTGGAATCATTCAATAATTCACGACCGCTCGAAAACACCTTTTTAATCAAGCTACGTCGGACGTTATACTCGAATTTTCTTCCTTTTCCTCATAGAGAGGAATATTCTAAGAGCATCCTCGTATATGCGCTTCTCATCTAAATTTTCAAAAATACCGACCGATCGTGGTCGAACATGCGCCCGTCAAAGGCCCGTCAAAGCGCAACCAGAGCACAGTGAAAAAGCCATCAAGGAGGACTACTTGTATACACGTCTTCGATCTTCGTTTTGCGCAAATAATAAAATAAGAACGACGTAAATAGAAGGGAATACGTGCGATACGTGTATCTAACGTATCGTAAAATATATACATGCTAAACTTTATGAATGCCATCGAGCGAACGGTTCTTTCTTCTTCATTTCACTAACGAAAATTTGTCTTTTATCGGGCAAAGAATTTCAAGATTGTGACGAGGTGGGTTGGGGGTGGGAGAGAGAGAGAGAGAGAGAGAGAGAGAGAGAGAGAGAGAGAGAGAGAGAGAGAGAGAGAGACAGGCAGACGGACAGTGAGAACGAAGAGTGAGTGAGAGAGAGAGAGAGAGACAAAAGTGGACGTTTCAAAGACAAAGAGAAGTCGAGCAAAGACGGTGGACAATTTTCCGAATAACTCGATTCTCGTTCCTGGCGAAGGCTGCGACGCAGCAAGCACAAATGATGTATAGCTTTATAACAAAGAGAATTTATCAACGTCAATTTGTCGCAGTATAGCACGTCCTCTCGGTTACACCGGTGCTATCGCGAAAAGAGGAATTAGAAAGAGAGAACAATGAGAGAGGATTGATTATCCTGCGGGGAACGATTCTCTAAAAATACGAGACAAAACCAAGATCCGTAAGTTAATTGCAGGACTTATAATTCGTTTTAATTATTTTCATCTAGAAAATAATGACTCGTCTATCCAACGATAACTTATCCAACGCAGCGCGTAGCAAGACGCATAAAGAAATTACAAATGCTTTGACACTTTTTGCAGGAAATCATTAAGTAATTGAAAAAATATTTCTCGCTATTTAAATACGTTCATATCGAGAGTTTCAATATCATGAACGCTTATCATGGACCATATTCCATCCGCTCTGTTTATTGCAAAATACAAACGATCGCATTATACCGCAGCTTTATTTTCCAACGCGATATATTTTATCGCGTTAAGGTATCGTATAAAATGTTTTAATTACATGGTTCTCCGGTATACGAGATAGAATTTATCTTTTCATCGCAATTATAGAAATTTATTGCCACATCTCGACTCGGTAGGGAAAAAAAGAAAAAAGAAAAAAAATGAAACTGAAAAGGCCTTTATAAAGGCCTACCTACGCATTCTCGGTAAAAGGTACAAAGAAATTCGCGCGCGAAGCTGTATTTTAAATGAGAAAAGAAAAAGAAAGTCCTTTAAAAGGAGGAAGAAGGAGAGAAAAAATGAGAAAGGAATAAAATTGACAACTGTTTCAGTCAGCCCGCTGGAAGTGAAAATAAGGGATGCTAATCAGCCTCTATCGGCCGGCAAAAGGTACGAGCTCGTATGCAGGACTTCCGGTTCGCGACCACCGGCGATTGTGACATGGTGGAGGAACGGTCAACGTTTAGTGGATTCCAAGGAAACGGTGAGAAAACGGGAATCATAATTCCAATAGCTTCTTCTCGCGACTGACTCGAATCGAATTTAAAAATCAACGTAATAGTCAAGTAAAAGGTAAGAGGGAAAGAGGAAGAATGCCGTGCCGTGCCGTGCCGCGCCGTGCCGCGCCGGCCCGATAATATAGGAAGATAGTGTCTAGGAAGTGTAGGAAGAAAGAAATTCGTTAAGAGTACTTCTCCAAGAATTGGATTATTGGCCCTTTTTATCGCACAAGTAGTAGGACGAAAAGACGTAACGAAAAATGCTTTCGATATTCGATTTGTACGATAGAACAATATATGTAATTTTGTGACTTTTTGGCGTCTGTGTTTTCTTCGGCGTTCCTTCAAGCGGTCCCATATACGCCTCGTACACGAGCCATAAAATAGAGCCAACCATGTGTGCGTATTCTGAAGGCTAGCTCGTGCTCGCGCACATTAACTTAGCGTGTATTCGTCGAAATGGCGTGTGAGATATCGTTATCATGAGCTCGTGCCGCGGCTTAAGCCGCCGGTAAAAGCGTCGTTAAGAGCCCGAGGTAATTTAAATCAAAGTAAGCCACTGACGCGATAACGCCGCACCGCGCCGTTCGCATCCTTCTCCCTTTAACCTTGCAACAACTAGCTCACTCGTGCGCGGACGTGCCAACCCATGGATACCGTCCTAGCGAGCACGTAATTAAGCTAAATTGATGCGTGACAGTCGGCTTGCCGGTGTTGCTTTTAATTAATTGATACGCCGCCACGAATTACTCCGTGTTTACGAATGATTAGTCGCAATTGCGAGTGCAATCAGCGTACCAAAAAAAAATACCTATTCTTTACGACTCGATTTCATCGAATATGCCACGGTAAAGAAAACAGAAAACTCACCGTTCAACTTTGCGCGTTGAAGAAGAAGAAGAGGAAGAAGAAAAACGAGTCCTACCCTCTCTGCGTTTTCCTATAGATTATAGTTCGCCGCTCGTATTTCTCTCGGCTGCTTCCCACTTTCACCCCTCACGCTCCATCGGTCCCTTGCTCTCTCTCTCTCTCTCTCTCTCTCTCTATATATATATATATATATATATATACATACACACACATACATATATGTATATTACATACATATATACATATATATATCCCCTTTTGTTTAAGTTTCTTATATAAGCAACAAAACAAAGTGTTACAGCACCAAGTGTATCGAGTCTGAAACAATATTTCCTTTGGGTAATTCTCCCTTCTTCGAAGAGTTGCATCTTTCCCTGTCCGTACGACAATTCAAATATTTACATCGTCGTCTTATCGGATTAAAAAAAAAAAAAAAAAAAAAAAGAATAAGAAAAAGACTCCATAGATCGGAAGCACAGCAAAAATTCTTTCCTTCCGTGATATCTCAGGCCATATAAGAAAGAAGATCGAAATAAGAGGATGTAGAAATGAGCATACGCAGTAGAAGGTAGTCGTAGTTTAGGTCGATCGAAAATTCGTCGGCGAGAGATATACGCCGAGGGAAAAATAAGAGCTTCTGAAACGACTTCCTTCCATCCATCACTCGTAATCCCTTTCGCGTCCTTGCCACGTCTCGATGCAACGTAGTCCTTCGTGTTATCGGAGCAGCTTGCGACTTGCTATCGATTCGACTGAGACGCGACGATCGGAGCGGAAAAATGCACTTCCGCCACAATGAAATTGGCTGAAAAAGATTCAGCGTCTTTTCTTCCTCTTTACCCCCTCCTCCGCTCTCGCATCGATAATAAGAAAAAGTACAGATCGATCGAGGATTTTGACTCGAGTTCGAGCATTCTTTCCCTCTTTCCGATGATAGATAAGCTCTTGACGTATGTATAATTCATATAGTGGAAAAATGTAAGATAAAGGTAAGGAGATAAGAATGGAGGGAACGAGAGCAAATATAAGAAAATAACAAATAAAAAAGAAGAAGAAAAAATAGAAAAGGAATAAAAGTTGTGGGCGACGTTGTTACAGACCTCGAGCGATGGGAACACGACCAGCAGCGTCTTATCTTTCATGGCGACCAAAGCAGATGCCGGTAGACACTTGTCATGCCGAGCTGAAAATTCGATCATGGGAAGCGCGCCGATAGAGGACGACTGGATACTCGAGATACAATGTAAGAGTATTAACGACGCATTTTATCTTGCCCGAAGAACGTTGAAACACCGTTCGTCATTGACGTTACGGACGTAAATTCTTTTCGTTTTTCCTTTTCTTCTCTCTCTCTCTCTCTCTCTCTCTCTTCTCTTTCCTTTCCGGCCAGTAGAACCGCACAACCTTTTTCCCCGTTAGCGTTATTCAAGCGTTCGCTCGTCGATCGATCCGTATTTACAGACACGCCGGAGACGAAAATACAACTGGGAACATCCTTGGACCCTAGCACTATTCGAGAAGGTATGGACGTCTATTTCGATTGTCTGATACAAGCTGAGCCGCCGGTTACCAAAGTCGAGTGGCGTCATCAGGTATAACAAATTTTTCCCCTTTTACTCTTTCGATTCGTTTCGGTAATAATAAAAAAGCTAGAAAAGAGATATATCCTGTACATGTGTCTATCTATATATATATATATATATATATATATATATATATATATATATATATATATATATATATAGATATATATCCGAATGTAATCTTTATAAGTAAGCTTACTTAAGTCGTCTTATTCAAATTTTATAAATTTCTCGATGATTAATCATGATACGAACGGCAAAGAGGTAGCTTCATCGCCGAATAGTGAGATTTTCTTTCATCATCTCTCCGTACCAATGAATTAAACATCGTGAAATTGTTCTTATAGGGCAAGGCACTTTATCACAACGTAACGCAAGGTATTATAATCAGTAACCAGAGTTTGGTACTCCAAGGAGTCGACCGCAAGAGCGCTGGCAATTACACGTGCGTGGGATACAACGTCGAGGGCGACGGGGAGAGCTCGCCTTTCTATTTGAACGTCATGTGTGAGTATAGCGACCGCGCGAAGCGACGTTCACCTACGAGCTACGTAGGGTAATAGAGGCGAGTTGCGCGTCGGTTCTGCGCGTCTGCGGGCAGACTGCATCGGCTCGGTGGTATATTACGGATGGAGATATATATATATATATAATTACATACACTCGTACGTTATTATCTTTTACGCGAGAAGAGGAAGAAGAAGAAGCAGCGCGGAAAATTATTGCCATGAAACCCTGACATTCCACTTTCATAAACGCGACAACGTTATATAATCTATATTATGTATATCAGCGACAACGGTGATGAAATAAAAGCGATTTCGAAGGGAATTTGACCGGAAAGCGAATCGTCGCGCGTCGCCTCGTTCGTCATTAATCTTTCGACTTTCCATCGATTATAAATATGAAAATTAAATCCCACGGTTTAATAATCCTGCCAATATATAATACATATACCTACATAAGTACGTATCTATCCGTTATAAATTTATAACAAACATGTCCGCTTATTTGGTTTGAATTATTATTAAATCCTCCTATAAAAGCGTACACGGAAAGGATATGACGGCGTCGACAAGGATATTGGAATTCCGCCCTATCAATTTTGCTTATTAAATTATTAATGGCGTACGTTAGCACATAATTTTGGTAAAATCTATTTCCCATTACTTTCTCGCGTTAATTTGCATTTGGCGAAAGCCGACTCGATCGAATCCTCTATATGTTTAAATATTTTTACAGTCGCTCCAACTTGCAAGCCGAACCAAACAAAGTTCCACGGTGTTGCTAAACAAGAAAAGGCCAACATATCCTGTCAAGTGGAAGCGAATCCCGCGGAAGTACAGTTCCGGTGGACGTTCAACAATTCTGCGGAGAGTATCGACGTTGCCGCGGGTCATATCGCCAGAGCAGGCACATCCTCGATCGTTTCGTACACGCCAATGACGGAATTGGATTACGGAACGTTGCTATGTTGGGCCACGAATCGTATAGGGCATCAACAAGTGCCTTGCGTCTATCACATTATACCCGCCGGTGAGTTATCCTTATGCAGCAACGATCACGAAAATCGAAAGACCTCGATAATCGAATATTGAATGTCGCCGCTGGCATTGGCAAGCACAAAGGTAATATCCGGCCGTTTTCCTTTTGTCGTCGGGACTTTCGAGTCTACTCAAAGTTTTCCAAGATAGGCTATACGTATATACCTATGATAAATCCATGCTCGCTTGTCGAACTTGAGAGATATGCGTACACATACATATGTATATATATATATATATATATATATATATATATATATATATATTTCGTCATCCGTGCGAATCTTTCTTGCGACGCGAATTCCTTGAAAATCAAACTAAATTGCTATCATCATTTTTCCGCTAAAGATAAAAGCCCTAGTGGACTTGGAGTCGCAAAAATTCATCGCGCGCGATTTTTCACGGAGAACGAAAGTATTCTCTCTCTCACTCTCTCTCTCTCTCTCTGGTTTTTGTTATCTGGAACAACCGTGCTTCCGGCGCGTCGCGCCACGCGATATTCTTTGAAAAAGAAAGAGAGAGAGAAAAAAAGAAAAAAAAAAAAACTACAAGAAAAGAGAAAATATTTTCCCTCTCTCTCGGCCACGCGACACATCCTACCTTTCCCCCTTGCCGCGGCTATATTTTCAAAAGGTAAGGTTGGAAAAATAGCGCGAAAGAGGTACCTATAGAGGTACTTACCTATAGAGGTATCCCCACGAAGGAACAATGGGCATTTGCATCCCTTTTGTCGGCTTCGTTAAGCCACCTAAGATATTGCGCTCCTTTCTAAAGGCTCATCGATCGCGCGCGTTTTATCCAAACGTACTTTTATATAAACTCGTTTTATCTGGGTTAAAAAAAAAAAAAAGAAAAAAAAGAAAAAAAAAAGACGAACGAATCGAACGAATTTGGAGGTTGAGAGGAACTTGATTTATCGTAACTATCTCTTTCGCCCTCCCTATACTGACACAGGTCGTCCGGATATGGTACACAATTGTACAACCTCTAACACATCGACCAACTCGTTTTCGGTGCGATGCACCGAGGGCTTCAACGGCGGCTTACCGCAATCCTTTCTTCTCGAGGTGAGGGAGAGCAACAGCCAGGAATTGCGTGCAAATTTAACGTCACCGGTGCCGCGTTTCAGCGTCGCTCAACTCGAGTCCGGTGCTCTTTATCAGGCGTGCATTTACGCGTACAACGATAAAGGACGCAGCGAGGCAATGGTCGTGCAAGCAGGAACGTTGAGGCTCCCTGAAAAACAATTAACATCCGAGTCAGGTAAACGACCAGTCTTTTTTCTCGCAACGATCTTTTTATAGCCACAAATTAATCTCGAGATATCGGAGGGAAAGTATGTCGTTGGGATTGCAAAAGTAACAATCGTACTCTCTTATCTTTTCTCCGTCCTAAAAGGACGAATTAGATGGACGGAATAAATATGGAAAATAAGATCAGTCGTTGGTTATTTCAGAAAGGCCACGGCAAAACGTTAGATTAACGCCGATGTTCAGTGTCATGATCGGCGTGGTAACGGCCTTGATAATCGTCGCGGTAATAGTCATGATCGTTTTGAGGATCCAACACACGAACGTCGAGGAACGTGGCAAGTCGCAAATGGAGGAACATGGGAAGCAAACGAAATCGGTCCCGATACAGCGCGAACTGAGATTCCGCGAAGGTAGCAGCCTTCTCAACGACGAAAAACATCCAGGTAGTCCATTCAGGAAATTGGAAACAAGCGGTGACTTGAGTGAGAGCGACGAGAAGAATCCGGACATCATACCTCAACAAATTACCGGTTCGTATCGTATTGCATGCACAGATGAGACGATCGAAAAATGTTTTTTCATTTTTCTAATATCAATCGTTAATTATCCGTTCGTGCGTGTTTTCTCAGGAGACGAGCCCTCGGAATACTTGAGAAAAAGACGATTGGTATCGACGATAGAAACCTCTCCGTCTAGAAGTCTCTTGGAACACTCTACCATCACTTCTTTAACCGGGCACGGCAGCTACGTTGGCTACTGCACCATTCGCAACGGGATGCCCCTGCACGAATTTTCAAATTTATCTACCAAACACAAAAGTGTAAGAAAAAACGCCGTTGTCTCTTTCCCTTAAGAGAGAAAGAGAGAAAAAAAGAGAGAGGGGGGGAGGTTCGAACTGAGAGGGCGGGAGGGGGGGAGGGTTAATGAGACGACTGAGAGGGAAAGATAGAAATCAAAAAGATCCTTCAGTTTCAGCCCATCATCGGGAGCGTGTACGACGATGGAGTATGCACCCTACCGAGACAGCACTGGCCGACTCAGAACGTTCAATCGATGACGATGAGTCCACCGATGTTGTACGCAGGGTTAGGAGTCGTCGGCAGGACCTGTCCAAGTACATGCACGCTCTTGTCGAAGGACATCGAAACGAGAGTTCCTGCTCAGTGCTGCGTCCAGTCGCAGAAAGAGGCGACCGTGACTACGCCCGTTGTGATGGCCAAAAGAGAAAGCTCGGTGTGACGCTGTAATTGACGAATCCTTGAGAACTACACCATGTATTAGAAAAGAAAAAAAGGAGTTTCATTGTTAATTATCTTATCGCTTGCGAAAGAAGTACGAAAGAGAGAGAAAACGTATGTGACGCACGTCGTATGTGAGTTCAACAACAACACAAGCCTCTTTTATTTTGACAAATTTATTTCCTACCCCATAAATGATATCGTCATTTTACGAACTTATGTTGAATCAAGTGCCCTTTTTATATTAAAGGAAGACTTTGAAACTGATACTGCGTCGATGAATGTGTATGGACGTGAATCGAGAGAGAGAGAGAGAGAGAGAGAGAGAGAGAACGAGCCGTGTGTACGAACGCGTGACATTTAGTACGAATGCCTACACATACACGTGTGTAGTACGTGCCTGCGTGTGCTTGTACATATATAAATATACATATGTACAGTTGAGAATGAGAAAGTGTGTATATATACAGGCACACGCATGTACTCCATGCATACACTTGAGAATACACAAAGGAACACATACACACAGCGTCGCGTAATTTATGTACTGTACATACCTTTGGAACATGGAAGATATTTTATACAAATCAATAGCATAAAGTTTATTCAACTTTTACTACGGTACACACTGTACAATTTGTCTAGTCGATGTAAGTAAAAAATACGTAGACGAAATTCAAAAATCGATCGTGCAACCAGAATAACGTATACTGAAAAGGGTTAATTCGTTGGTGCGATATCGTGTGAAAAATCGATCGCACGGCGCGGCGTGCCGGAGCCGGCAAAAGTTAAAAACGTAGACTGCTGGGAAAGGGGATCGAAAGCGAGGAAACGCGATAGAAACATATCGTTTGGTTTTTCACCACGAAAATCGAACAAAACGTTTGAAGAGGGGGGGAGGGGAGGGGAGAGAGAGAATGTGTGTGTGTGTATGTGTGTGTAAAGGAATAACGCGTTCGAACCAAAAAAAAAAAAAAAAAAAAAAAAACGAACGACGACGACGAAAACAGTCAAAGCAAGTCCCCTGGTTTCTTTCAGTCTACAATATTCTGGATTTTATTGTAACGTTAACTATCTGTATGATAATGTCTTTAAAAGAAAATAACATTTTCCCCCTTTTGCGAGTAATCGTACTAACGATGACACAAATATGAGCGTTGTTTTATAAAAAAAAAGGGGAAAAAAAAGAAGAATGAATCTTTATCTTAACTCTTCAAATTAGATGAATGCCGATTTAATTAAGTTAAGTCTGTCACTCGTGGTACGTAATTGCGATAGTCCTAAAAATTACTGCCTGTTTCGATGCTTAAGAAAATCTTGTTGGAAATCTAATGTATCACCGGAGGTCATTTCTCGTTGCCTCTCCCATGTATTATAACTGAACGTATCGTTAATCGTTATAAGGACGAATATGCCCGGCCGTGCGAATACACACCCTCTGAGTCATGCAGCGAGGAGGGCTGCCGCGTTTCAGCCGCGTTTCAACCGTGGTTCCTTCCTGTAGATCTGCAAATTTGTATAAAAGAGCAAAATGTGCGAGTGTATGGCTTTCGTCGATTATCGATTTCGTTACCGGCGCCGGCGATACGACGACGGTACGTTACCTATGTTCTAACGTAGAAAGAAAATAAATCGATTTCCATTTCCGCGATTTAAGATTAAGGGGATGCATAGAAAGTGGATGACATTTTGCTTCGTCTTGTAAATACCAACTTTGAATGACGAAGCGAATAACAGAAAAATACTTGAAGCAGTGAAAAGGATAAAAAAGAAAAAGAGGAGAGAGAGAGAAAAGTTGAAGCTGAAAGGTCCGAATAAAGTTTATACGGCGTTTAGGTACATAGCTGAGAAAGCATCTGTCTTTCCGCCAGAGTCATTTGTTAATAAAATAACGTCGAAACTGAACTTTTCTCTAAACTTCTACGTGAATGTGTTCTTTCGATCGCTAGACATTAAGTTATATCTCTGAGAAATCTGACTATATAATGTTTACTAAATGAATTGTTAATTATTATTGCCATTGATGGAATTGATGTTGGTACATAATCGAATGTACTATCGACATATGTACACGTTAGTGATTGATAAATTGGAAAATGCGTAATTTATCCTTGTAAGAAATTTTACACGAAATCAAAGAAAACACACAGAGATACGCACCAAATAAAAGGACGACTTTGTTCGTCCTTTCGCATGTTCGAGTTCGGTCATAAATGTTGACGATACGATGAATAATAACTCTGATCGTTTATTTTCAACTCGTAAATGTTAACGCAAAAAATTTCACAAGGCTCGAAAAGTCTCCTACTTACGTTTCTCGTCGTGATATAACTAACATAATAGAAAATAAAACACGTTCGATGATAATTCGTTATAAATTGAACATTTCGCAAGTCTATGTTTTCTTTCTCATTGGATCTTCGCCTTTTTCTCGATCGACGCATTTCTTCAACGCGCCATAACGAGGCATATTGTCCGACGTAGCTGGCCAAATAGTATCTGTAAAATGATCGTATCAATGATTGACAAATGTGTCTCACGTTGCCATTTCATGGATATCCACTTAAACCAATGCCTATCGGAATGGCTAAAAGAATGATCGCGTATAGAATTTTCGGCCGACCAATTATACGGATATAACAAGCAATATATAACATTGGCTACGAGGGCCAATCAAGTTCTTCTGTAGAATATACCGTTTGAAGAATTGAGATCTAGCGTAACGCAATGAAATTATTTGAATTTGTGAGCGCAACTTTCTAACTGAAAACGTAAGTCACTATTATCCGTCTCAGTCTCGTTCATTAGATCCTATTAAATACGTCAAAAGAGATGATAATTACGTCGGTTTGTATAAGTTATTAAATTTCCATCAGCACTTCTGAAAGAGACATAGCAGGCCATAAGTATACGCGATATGTATGAAAGTTTCGTTTTCGATAGGAGTCGGCATCGCTGACATACAATTGTACTTTTGCTGGAAATACAATACCTTGGAAAATGTTCAGACTTCTTAGGAAAATAATTTACATGCTTAACGGTATAAAGAGAATATAGATACGCGTGTTCTATATTTATGCTCTTAGCAAGAGCGAAAAATTTATGAGGTATCGTGTATCCGCTCGTAAGATACAACCCAGACCTTCTTCCGTCGCGATAAATTACACATAAAGGTAGTACTTATTCTCTCAGACATTCTTCCTGATACCAAAGTATTGAAATGAGAAAAAAGAAATATTTTAAAGAAGCAACGAAAAAAGAAAAAAAAAAAAGAAAAAAAAAAAAAACAAAAACAAAAAAACAAAAAAACGAAACAAATCAACGGAGGATAAGTATTGCGTAAGTTTATCAAATGAACGTACGTGACGGCTAGAACGTGCCGAGACGCGAATCCAAATGCTTTTTCTTTTTTCTTCTATCGCGAACGATAGCAAGTTTGAACGACGTAATGGCACGACCACCAGACACGAATCATATTTCTCGCATATACTGTACGATTCGTGGATTAATTCGATATGATTGAAATGAAAGGATTCGTTAGAATAAGAATATCGTCGAGGCACCGACTGCTCGAACCGTACTGCCTGACCGGGGCTGCTTTCTGCCAGAAACACTGACATTTGTATGTATATGTACTTATCGTTAGTTTAGTATCATCTTTGTGTATCCTCATAAAAAGAAGAAAAAAAAAAAAAAAGAAAAAAAAAAAAAAAAAAAAAGAAAATCGTTTTTTTTGATATTGTAAATATTCTCTAATAAATAAATAATCGTTTTTATTCAAGGCCAGAATCTGTCAAATTCTTTGGCCCGAATCGCGCCTTTTCGTGCGCGTGAATAATGTAAAAGTAAAATAAAGAATGTAAATTCGATTACCATCGTAAAATTCTATAAATGGTACTTCGGTGTAAACTCGTAAATAATCTTCGACGGTCTTCAATACGCTTGACTTTGCGTTTAATAAAAATTCCAAGACGGTACTTTCGGGAAGATATTGCGGTACTTTCTCATTTAAATTAAATAAAATTTCTACAACGTCGTTCGCCTATTAAAAAGGACGATGAACATAGACTATTGTCGTTTTTATACAGATACGTATATCTACATATTTGTCGATCTCTACTCACATCGTCGCGCATTACTCTTGATATATAATCACACAGATGATATAATTTCATGCAGCAATTTGAAATTTGTCTTTTAATATCCTCTAGCGTTTGCTTTTCTATCCTTTCCAATAAGCTAGGTGCCAGCGTGTAAACGTGAAACCAATCGATGAAAAATCTCTATGAGAACAATGGAAGGAAAATAATAACAAAGCTATGCAGACGCCTTGCCTTTTACGTTGATAACTCACGTGATTAACGTGATGATACGTCGGTAAAACAATAGCCTTACCAAATTTTTCTTCTCCGTTCTTATTCTCACAGATGCCTTTGACATGCATGTAAATTACGTCTTCCGGGGCCTATTTACATACATAAACTTATCGAATTAAGTTACTCGGAATGAGTGCGCATCTCCTTATGTCATCTCCTTATCTCTCCCATCATTCCTGTCATTTCATCTCTCATCTCCTTTCACAAGTCTTTTTTTAATAACCTTCACACACGCCAAACTTATGGCGATTTTATTGTGCTGTTCCTTTTGTTTTTCTTTTTTTTTCTTTTTTTTTCTTTTTTTTTCTTTTTTTTTTTTTTTGTTCAGTTTTGTTTAACACAACTTTACAATTTTACGTACCTCCAACAGATGTATGTAAAATCTTGGATAAATGAGTAACAAACCGGTTACGAGATTTTCGTTCAAATTACCGTGCAGTCCTTTGACGATCCTTTTCATTACCTGTAGGAAATGCAGGGTAAAAAAAGTTCTTCAAAGTTTGACGAGTCTTTATGAGCAATGTATATCGGGCCAAATAATCATTTAAGGCAACCTCTTGGAATTCTTCCGAACTATGAAAATATTCTCCAAAATATGAGAATCGTGTTATGTATGTACTCTGAAAATGACATAATTGTGCGTTATCGAATTATTTTGTGAGCATACATGGATAAAGCGAATAATATAATCATATTTACATAGTTAATAATCTTTAAATTTTTTTCCACCACATCCAATAAACTTTTTCTCGTTGTCCCTGCCATCTTGGCCGTTCCTAGTGCTATAATCCAATAATGTATGTGCCATGTGCTATATGCTATACGCTGAAAACAAAAAGTGATCGTCCAACGACGATGATGCAAATTCACACTGCACATTTGAGAATAAAAGCCTTAAGAATAGACCTTTTAATTGATCTATTCTTTGCTTTATCTTTACCAATCATTAAGGACCCTAAGGACACGTGAGAAAATATCTCTGCAAAACGATGACGATATACTTCGGGAATAAAGGCGAATAGAAATGCACAGGAAAAGTACGAGTTCCATTTAAGTAAATTCCACAATCGGTTTAACGATAAATTTCATTTAATATTGATTATAATTTTACTTCGTCTGTATTACTCGTTTTACAAATCTTTGAAAAATATCCATAGGTTTCCTTAAACTAGTCTCGTGATAATCACTTGCATAACCTACGTCTCCTTCGATCGATCGATTTCTCCTTAGAATATTAATTTCGGTAATCAACTGTTTTGTCGTAGGAGTGGCCGACGGATCAAACTTTTCTACTTCGGCTAAATCGAACGGTATAACGACTTTGCCAGTTTCATTGTGCACAGAAAATGGGCATCTCAACAAATGCGTCGTACCCTCTGTTACATTCCTATCAAATCTTGGACCGCAATAGTGCAACTTTACATGATCTGGATATTCCTCCAGTCCCTTCCAATAATGTATGCCCTATGTAAAGAATCGAGTATTTATAAAAATTTATATATTATAGCGCCAGGAATTTGATTATTAAAATACTTAGAAGTAAGTTTCAATCGTACGGAATTAATCATATTTTTATGATATTCGGTAAATGAGTTCCACCTATCGATACTGCTTATGCGATCATTAAATAACTGCTTAACGTCTGTCTGTGCCTCGTTATCGGGAAGTAGAGCCAGAAAATAATCGACTCCCTCCTCCGTACCAAGTAGATTTTGATCTACGATGCATAAAGGTATAAATTCAGGCTCTATGATCGCAAGAACGCGCCTGAAATATTTCATTGTTTATATTTATATGTTCTGTTAAAATGATTATCAAACGTGATGAACGAAAGAAATGACTGAGAGAACCTGTCGTAATAATTCAACTTTCTTATTTCGAAATGGTCCTCCTTGATGAAACACTTTAACGTTTGATGTTGCATATAGTTCAATATCCCATTGCGTTTATTTTGATTCAATATTCTAGCAGCTTTATCGCAAACCCAACAATGTATTCCTCTTCTTCCAGAAAAGATCCACAGTATATGATCGTAACCAAAATCATCTAGACAGAAAGAGATTCATATTAATAAATATAGTCTAATAATGGCCTAAATACTTACGTCTTAAACATATATTTAATATTTTGCAGGCGATAACAATGTACTTCCAACATCTTGTACAAATATCAGATCCCTTGCAGCACGTCCTCACGTCGTCATAATCAGAAATATCTACATCAAAGACCAGTTCCTTCTCGACAAAGAACTTTGCTATACTTTTGCAGCGCGGACTGAAATTTTTCTTCATTTTACTTCTATCTTCTTGAATACTCTTTCTCTCTCTCTCTCTCTCTCTCTCTCTCTCTCTCTCTCTCTCTCTCTCTCTCTCTCTCTCTCTCTCTCTCTCTCTCTCTCTCTCTCGTTAACTCTATTCACTTACGGCGTGTTGTATATCGCTCCAATATTTATTGCTATTGGAAGTTCCTTAAGAATAGTTGCCTTCATCTGACTAGGAATTGGAAAAGATTTATTTCTAATGAACAACTGATTTAATAGTCTCAATGAAAATTCTCTAAATGATATGGTGGCGACTGAAAGAGAAAAAAAAACTGTTAGATATTATTTGTTGTACGAGATATAACATGAGATAGATCTTATAATTCGATACCGTCTCCATAACCTAACCAAGTACATAGCTCTTCGTATGGAAATAATATTTGATAATAAATATCAAGATATTTGTAAATATTTTCGTTGCACGTACTCATTAACGCTAATTGTCAAAGCGTTATTTTTTTAACAAAATGACACTTTACAGTTTACACGGCAAAAAGTAAAAACCCTATATTTGCCACTGACGGCAATTAGGTTAGGTTTCGTTGCTGTGACAACGAGAACGTAAACATCGCTCCGAACGAATCAGAAATATTTTCTATACTACCTCCGTTCACTTTAGTACCGCGCGTCGAAGAGAAAAGCAAGGCTGGCGGGATAGAGTGAGTGAGAGAGAGAGAGAGAAGAAAGCAATAAAGAGAAAAAAAATCATTCAACTGTCAGTTTTGGCATAGTGCCCTCCGATGAATCTCGAAGGCGAAGCGGGTAAGGAAAAGCAAATGGAAAGACCGGTGACCCGTTGGCGCCGCGAGATGCTCGACAAGACCGTAAAAAAGATCGAAAGTAATGAAATCGAAAGACCGACGTCTAGAAGAGGAATCAAAGAGGAAATCGAAGAGTACGGTAGTAGTTTTCGATCCGCGACTCCTGCGGCTAGAAATGCGCCATTAGCCGTTAGGGCACCTTCGGCTTCTATTTCGGGTTTGTCTCGTTTAAATACGGGACTATCGATGTCCGGTCTGGAAAGACCCATCACTCAGCACGGAATCGCCTCTATCCGTCCTGGAACTGCTGGCAGAGGCACATCGATGACGAGGTTCATTATCATTCCTTTCTTTTACGAATCAATACCTTACTTACTTACCTACTTACTTTTAGTTAACGATTAGTTAATTTATAATTTCCTTTTTTTTTTTTCTTTTTTTCTTTTTTATCATACAGACAAGTTCAGGATAAAAGATATTACGAGGGACTCGTACAATTAAAAATGCGAGAATTGTCGCAAGAGATGGCGACTATCGTACGGGACATCGACATGCAGAACAAGGAAAGGGCCACTATATTGCATTACGATAAAAGGGCGAAGGATTTGGCAGGGGAATTAACGGCGTTACAGGGAGAACTCGCCGATTATAATATCGTCGTCGATAAAATGAGCTCGAACATTGAAAAGGAATCGATGGACCAGGAAACGAAAGAACTATTATCGAGAAACGAACGGTCCATGGCCGAGATAGAGGATATGTTCGAGCGTAGGCAAGAAATGGAACAACGATTGCGCAGAACGGAGAAGGAAATGGGAACGGTGAGGGAACGTACGGAAAAATTGATCGACATGATGGATCCAGGTACGAGAGAAAGGTACGAGATATTGCGCAAGGAAAAGGTTAAGGTCGAGGAAACGATCGCCCTTATGCAGGAGGAACTCGAGGTGTTGTCGAAGGAACAGGGCCACTTCGAGGAACAAATGGCATTGTCCCCTTTTAAACAGGAGGCCGTTAAGTTGCACGTTAAGATTATGGACGGCGAATATAAGAGGGATAAACTGAGGGAGGAAGAGGGTAACAGATTGTCGCCTGAAAAAGAAAGGGAAGAATTATTGGTGAAGATAAAACAGGATAATATGGAGATGGCGGCCGCGGAGGCTCAACTCGCGGGTAAAAAGAAACGTCTGGCCGAGGTGGAGGTGGAATTGGAACGGTTGGAGACAGATTTGGAGGATGGCAATGCCGATAAACAAACGAAATATAAAGAGTTACGAAAGCGGGAGGAAGTTATGGAGCAATTCGCTGCCACCTTCGACGACAATAAAGCCGAAGAAATGGAAAGGATAAAGAAATTGGAAATATCGATAGTCGAGTATTTGGAAAGAATATCGAACGGCGGCGGAATGGACGGTGATGGAAATAATTTAACGAGGAACGAGGAGATTTTATTGATTCTAAATAAGTCCAAGCATGACGATTATTACGACACCGCCGAGCGTACTAAGACAAATAATATTAATAATAATCGAAGTTTCGAAGTGCTAAGAAACGATTATATCGATTTAAAAGAGACATTGCGCAAATTGGAAATATTGGAGGATAAATTGAGATTAGAAATCGGCGATATTAATGAACAAACGCACGGCAGGGAATATGAATTAATTCAATTGGAAGATTTCAATGGTTTCAAAGCGAAAGATCAAATGAAACGCGAGGATGCGAATGTCGAGCATAAAAGGCTGATGGACGAGCGAACGATCGGCGAGGTAGAATTGAAAACTGTCAACGATGATTATAAACGAATCAAGGAGCGTTTCAACGATAATAGAATTTTTCTCGAGATTGAGGCGCTTGAAAAGAAATTAATCGATCTAAGGGAAGAAAATAAAAAGAGCAATGATTTAATCGTACGACAAAAGGAACAAGTTGATTATTTACCGCGTAAACAACAGGCCTTGAAATTGATGAAAGAATACAGTACGATACTCGAAGAAAATTCCAAAACTCTTTATTGAATGAATTCTTTGAATTTCTTACCATTTTCCTTATCTTCATTCGAAAATTATCCAAATAAGGCTCAATGTCGTTAAATAATTACATTTCATAATCGTTCTTTCCTCGTTTTATTGGACCGCGCGGAACTTACTTATATACTTTTCAGTCGGCCTTATCGATGCCTTTTCCATTTCTCTGAGTAACCGGTCAGCTCCCTTGCAATCATTAATTTGATCTGTCGATGATATTAGAATAAACGTATCTTAAATAAATGTACTTTTAAATTATATATTATCATACCATACCATAGATCGAAAGTATGTAATCGCACAAAAGATTTACATTTATGTTTTTGGTATACTTGATGACTTCGAATATGGTTAACGATATATTCAGTTTACTGTCGTTATCGTAATTGCGAATATCGTTAATCAATAATTTCATTCGCACGTTTCGCATCTGAGGGAAGAAAAAGATAAATAACACAATATGACATATATGTATATATACATACATATATATACATATACATATATATATATATATATATATATATATATATACACATATATATAATATTGTATATGATGGTGGTGAAAAAAGAAAACAAACCTGAAATATCTTTCGTAATTGTTCGATTTCACCGAATTCCACCAATGCCAGGATCAACTTTACCACAGCCACTGGCTCTCCGTGAACATCTCTTATACTGTTTAAAACCTTCTTCAATTTATTCTTAACATCCGGTATCGACGAATCATCCATATGCCTAACCAATATTCCTAATAATATTTGTTTCGCCGGGGTTTGCTTATATTTATTCGCACAGCGTAGAAAAGTATCCACGGCAGATTCTATGTCGTTTCTCTCAATATGACCTTTTACCAAAGGATTGAGTAAACTATTTTCCAATTTACAATAATTATTCTTAACGAGAGTTATTAACATTTTTTCGGCATCGCCATGACGTTCGTCATTCATTATCGCAGATAACAACTGCAAACATTTGCCCGTAACATTCATAAGAGCATTAATATTTTTAATATCGTTTATCACATTAAAGGCATCGTCCAATCTATTGTTTTTCACCAAACAAATAGCATACGATAATATTTTATTATTATCTAACATAAAATGACTGTAATTACTTCGAATTTCATTTAACTCAGCTTCGGCTTTATCCAATAGATTATTTTTTACATACAAATCAAATAACATCGCTCTCATTCCTGGTGTCCAATCGATATTATTCGAAATAATTTCTTCCTTTATAGCCTCGGCACCCTTTAAATCGTTGTATTTACAATATCGTTCGAGTAATCTCTTAATCGTCCCACGAGTGTTCATATTTTTAGATTTAAGTTCTATAATATGATTACGCAGTCCTTCGGTGTCCATCTTACTTGGATGCGGATTCAATGATAATATTAAATCTGACGAGTCACCTTTCATACTCATATCTATTTGCTTGTCGTTCATGTCTTTCAATAAATCCTCAATAGTTTTCCATTCGTCCGCATCCGATAAATTTATGTCAACAATCCGTTTCTTCATGACATCGATCTCTGCCATTGGCAATGTTACCTTATATTTTTTTAATATTCGTAAAAATTCAATAAGCCGGTGCAACTTTTTAAACTCGGCTGCGTCATTTAGTAATCCATTTAAAATATACAAATACGGTGGTTTCATACTATAGAGAATTTTTAACATCAACGACGTGAAAGCCAACTTGTCGGTTGCTTTTTCATATCCCTGGATAAGAGACTTTTCTAAGCAAGTATCACAAAAATTAATTTTCGCATTGAATTTAGATTGCAATAAAACTAGATCCTTTAATTTGTTTTCACGCAAGAGAAACGCACTGACGCTTTCTATCACGGTCATATAATTAATTTCAATATCGATCAATGTTTTTGTCATCTCAATGGGATCAACGAAATTAGGATTCACGAAAGGTAATAGGTAGTCAATGAGCGTATCTTTACTTATCTCGACGTTCAAGGATATCATGTGCGAAATGAGAGAGTAAAATTTGTTTCTGTCTGCGCGGCGCTCATGCGCCTCTATTAACAAAGGCCAATAATAATGAGAACGTACCGGTATGTCGTTCTTTCTCATTTCCTCGAATAAACTAAGAGCCAAAGATATCCTGCCTTTGGACAAAACAACTTCGGTAGCTTCGTTTATGACAAACGGAGAATATTTATGATCTGTGATTTCGTGTATCATTTTTAAAATATCCTCGTCCGATTTATTCAATTGTATTCCCTCGTTTACAAAGTGTCTGACATATTCCACGCAAATATTTGTAACCGTTGATTCCGTAGGAAGATTAATTATTATCTTGAGTGCATTTTTCCTTTGACCGGCATATATGAGCTCGATAATGGCATTAGTAATTAAAGATAAATCATTTAATTTCAACGATACAGGTAGAAATTTTAAAATCCTCTCTACGTGCTCCTCGTATCCATAACGATTGAGAATTTTTATTACGTCGATTATATTCGTAACACTAGGATGGTACTCTTGAAAAATGTCTATAATCTTGGAAATAACGCCGGTCCTTGCATAACCGTACGCTAAGTAAACGTAAGTTTCAATAGATGGGACGATCTCATGGAATTTCATTTCTTCGATTACTTTATAAGCCTCCTCGATATTGCCCTGCATGGCATTTGCTTTGACAATCATATCGAACGTTTCCTTGCTCCAACGATGATTTATTACCTCTTTCATCTTCTTTATCATATTGACAGTTAATTCAGAATCATCAGTATTTGATATTACATTCAATAAAGAACAATATATCCTCTGATCAGGTTCTAACGTCATATTATCTAAGAATTTATGCGGATTTATTAATTCCAAATTTTGCGCGTAAACTTCAAGAAGGACATTATAATGTTTCAACGTTATTTCACAGCCTTTCCTTTCGAGTAAATTCCATACCTTATTAGTTAACTTTCGTCTTGTTAGGAGATCGACACTGGATAACAATTTGCCGCAACACTTGAGCAATATCAAATCAATATTGTCCAATAGTAGATTGTTCGTTTTCTCATAAATTTGAATAATTTCCTCTAAATCATTTAGATAGACCCTACCATTTCGAAGATTTATACAAAAATTTAAAACTTTATTTTCTAACGTGTTGAACGTTAACGAAGGAGAACAATTAGAAATCGTCGAATTATGGAAATCAAGGTGTTGCCCTTTGTATTTCTCGAAATCAATGGAATCATTCTTCTCAACAAAGTGTTTCTCAAAACTACAAAATCTTTGATAACTGCTCACGTACGTCTTTTTGTAATATTTCAATAGTCGAGAACACCTATTGTACAATGCCATATCGATAAGAATTTCGTCCTTCTGATATGCATATTACGAGAGAGAAATTTTTCTCCCCGTATTCCACATAATCTTTCTAACCTTAAAATTATAGTTTCATCTTAGTCCGCTACCGTTACTGATACGATTCGTTGACAAATTTCTTTTTCGTAGAATTAAATATACATTTTTATCTACACTACTGCATACGACTAATTAATACGAGAAGATTAAAGACTTAAGAGAAAAACTTGAGCGAAACTTAATGCGTGATCTAACTTAACCATTTGATAAAACGCGACGTATGCGATGATGGTATATAGCTAACTTATACTTTGCCTCGCTTTCTCAAGATGGCACCAGTGGTCCTATCGAGGATTTTTCCATTTGATCAACGTAGTAGGAAAACAAAGTAAAGTCAAAGTGGCAACGTTATTAACTGTATTGTATCAATTTGAAAATAAATCTTGCGGATAACAATAATAGAAAGATTCACCGATTCATTTAGAAATAATTCTTTCTTGCGAATTGCGTTGACGGAGAAAAAGAAAATAAAAATAAATAAATTTGTGAAATGACATTTTTATGGAAAATATGGAAGTGCGGAAAGAAAAACCATTTGTATGCCGGTCGTACCTGATTTTTTATTTTTTTTTTTATTTTTGCTTTTTTTTTTTGCTTTATTTTGCGCATGAGGTATTGAAAATCATGAATTACCAGAGATATCATTCGTTCTGACCGATACATTTTTCATTGGGTGAAAAAAATGAGAAAATTGAAAAAGGAGTCACACTCAACACGCTATTAAATTACATACATCGATTACATCGTACAAGAAAAGTACACGCATAAACACACGGTGATTATAGATGAATAAATAAGCGATTAAATAAGCACTACATTTGTAAAAGCTCAAACTTGATGACTACGAGTAAAATATGAAACGTTAATTACCTAATGACAATATCTGATTATATCTATATATATACATATATATATATATATGTATATATATATATATATATATACATATATAATAGCGCGTACATATTGCGCGCTTGTTCTATATTTAAAATATTATATATATATATATAGATGTACACATAATTATTACAGTGGAAAGTTATATAAAAATTAAAAGATACACACGCAATTCCAATTTTCCAGGGAGAAAAGTTGAGAAGCTTAGAATGAGAGAATCTTGGAATAAAAAGACGTCCACTTAATTCAATTACTTATTAAGAACGCACGCATAATGATTTTCTTTCTTACACAAGTAGTCTCGACGAAAGAACATACAAGTACTTATGTATTGTCTTAATGACCTAGCTCTAGGTGTCCTAGGACTGAGATCGAGTACCCTACTTGTATCTTCAAGAGAAGATCGCGCATCGATCTACTGCGTCGAATACTTTCGGGTTTGTGTCCAGGAATTTCTTGACTAGATTCCACTCATGATAATATATCTTCGTATATTAATCTTTTATTTACAAATAAAATTTTACTAGACTAGATTTTACGATTAGATATTTTATTATCAGCCACTGATTCATTACCGATTTGCAAAATCAACTCTGATCTGATCGCTTTGAAATATGTCTAATCAGTCTCTATGGATTTGCAAGGATATAAATTTTCCTTTCCTTTCTATTTTCTTTCCCTTTCTTCCTTTGCTTTTTCTTTTCTTTTTCTTTTTACCATTTTTCTTTTTTTTCCCTTTTTTTTTCTTTTTTTTTCTTTTTTCTTTTTCTCGTTTGCTACGAGCATACTTAATTTACAATTTTACTCGCGATAAGTATTACATTACATTAAATTTCGTGTCGTATTTTATCTTATTACGAATTACTTATTAGAATAAGCACAGCCGCGTAAATACTCTTTCACTTGTGTATTTTCAAACGATACAAATCCGTAGAGAAAGGTGGACGATCTAATTTAATCGTGAAAGTAGATTTACTTTCTTCTTTAAAGTACGATACACGTTCGTACGATAAGTTCGATTATGATATACCTGTCTTATAGTTAATCTTAATCTATCTTAGATCGCGCACTATGGTATTATATTAAACTAATCTAGTACCTTATTACTAATCTAGTACCTTATAGTAGCTGCCATAACGGACATCAACGGATTATCGAACGATTATCATTAAATATCAAAGACGAATAATATATGCGATAGTAAATGGATAATATGCGATAAGGAGGATGTTTTACCGATTGGGAGTGCCAAAAGAGGAAAAAGGAAAAAATCGATGCAACGTAATAAAAAGGATTGGGCATAGGATGAAATTTTGATTGAAATTGATATTGCGTTCCTTGAACGTAAATTCGATGAGATAAAGCAACCTAGCGCGAGAGGAAAAATATTACTAATTCCTGAGACGTCGATTCCTTTCATCAATGTGAAAATGATTCGAATTTCACCTTTGTTTTGGCATAAAGACGGTGTTTATGGCATCGCATCCACGGGCAGTGATACGGTTTTGGCGGTGCATTGCGTACGCGACATACGATATGCGATATGCGATATACGACGTACGATTTACTTACATAAATATACATGATCCAGTAAAGATGTCGTAAAGAAATAGTACTTAAACATCTCGTATCTCGTATAGGATCGAAGCCGAAACGATTTATTATACGTTTCATCGAGAATTGCATTTATGGTTGGCCTGCATATTCGCTTTATATAATATATAATAAATTAACTTTATCTTTGATTTTGGCCCAATAATTATCTTGATTCGTGACTATCAATTTCAAATGACTAGAACATAATACGAAAAGACTAGATTCAAAAGGGGCAAACGAGGAAAATTTCTCAAAAGTTCTTCCTCGTCGAATTACTACGATATTCTAAAAGGAAATAAATCATTTTCCTTCGTCCGATAGAATGTGCTGTACGGATATTTAAACTGATTGGAACTAATGAGACATTATTTACGATTACCCGATCAAACGTTATCTCAGCTTTGCGACTAGAATAAGTTAGATTGGAGAATGATTTAGACTAGAATCATAAGGATTTGCTCAAATCTTACTAATTAAAAGTAGACTTTGGACTAGTTCATGACTAGAGACGATCTGGAGCATGACTAGAGGTTGACTAGAGCATAAGCTACACGCATATATATGTATATATATATATATATATATATATATATATATATATATGTATATATATTAGATAGACACAAATCTGTGGCGATCCTAATATATTTTCTTTCAAACACTTTTTTGTCATTTATCCTATACTTTTGGTATCGGCTCGTTGTACACCTTTCATATTCATCATAGTAATATAGATAAGTAGGGAAAGAAAAGAAGGAAAGAAATTCTACGATACTTATTTCCAAGTCTCACTGTATGCGTGTGCGTGTGTGTGTGTGTGTGTGTGTGTGTGCGTGTGTGTGTGCGCACGCGTATATATATATGCGCACACACACGCGTGCGCGCGATCTCTTTGAATTAAAATAGACTTAGTGGTCGGTATTAAATATAGATACTTAAGGACTCGTTAAGTTTACTAAAACTTATGTTAAATTCGAATATAAATATCAGCTGCGCATCAAGAACAAAAAATAGAATCTTACATCCGCGTAAAACGTAGATCCTTTTGGCGCCTGAACGTCGCCCGTTCGGTAGGTGATAGGTTGATTCGGCAGAAGTCCCTTGATTTCCACGAGAATGTGACAGAGATATATGATAGAGAAAGGGCCAGATATATCTTAAGTAAGTTGGAAATCTTTCTTTCGTTATGTATCCAGAGGATTGCGTCAGTTTAATCTTTTCTCTTTGTCAGTTTTCATCCTTTCTCGTTAGATTTAATTAGATTATGAGCGACTTTCGAGGCCAACGGTCGTCGTATTCGTGAGACGAAAGAGTCCATTTTTGTACTCGAATGAACGTATCAAAATCAATTTTGATAACGAGCGAGCCATTAACTAATAATTGTACTCTTGGCATCAGTACTCTGCGTTTCTCCCAATCCTGCTTCTTCTTCTTCTTCTTCTTCTTCGTCGTTAACCCTCATCGCTAAGCGATAAATTTACAAATTCAATTTATGTACAATCTTTTCTCCTTTTCGGATAATAAGAAATAAAAGTTTTCCTCAGTCTTTTCTCTTTCGTTGGTCATGCGAGCCATGTTATCAGATAATCCAGTACTCTATTTACCTTGGATGTTCGATCGGCACGCTCGTCGCGCTTTTAACCTCGGCGTTAAGTTATTGCTCTTCTTCCAAGATTTCTCTCTCTCTCTCTCTCTCTCTCTCTCTCTCTCTCTCGTCCAATCCACTCCAGATGTTTCCTCCTATCCAGAATCCTGGCGAGTGGAAGAGCGGTGACGAGCGCACGTCCGTTCGGTGATTTCAATCCAGTAGCTCGTTCCGGGAAAGCGGGATGGAAGGTCGCATGACCCCCGGAGGATGGATCGACTGCGTTTTCGTGATAGATAAAGAGAGATGATAGAGGGAAGAGAGAGGGATAGGAGGGAGGAAGCAGGGAACAGAGTCCTCCGAGGGTCACGCAAGCGCACACTCGCTCGCCTGCTCGCAGACTAACCCTAACTCGGCTTGGTATCGGGCTCGCACGCGTCTCCACCCCACCATCGGACTGCCATTATCCCCACCAGGCCAGCTTCGTTTCCCCTCCACCGAGCTTGTTCCCCTTTCCCCTCCGTACCCCCCGTCGAAGAATTTAGCCCGTTTTCGCTCCCTTTACCCTCACCCTCGAAACCCTGGATCCTCCCACTAACTGCGCGTACGCCGTCACGTCGATCTTTCCCCTTCGGAAGGCGTCATTGGTGCCGCCAAGATATACACGGACACGTCTCCCTTCCATCGACTACCGTCCGCGCGATCTCTTTCGCTTTTATCCTAAACCGTCACCATCCTGTCACCTTCTGGGCAATGTCTTATATCCTAAACCCCGATCGAGACCGACCGAAACCGGTCGCTAACACCAGCCTACGAGGAAATAATCGCTATATCAATTTCTTAAGCATTTCTCCCATTTCCGTAACCCAGACATGTCTAAGGCGTATAGCCGAAATACACCTTGAAATATAATAGACATGCGCCCGGGCAACATCTGTCTCCAAGCGAAAGGTTTCGATGTAGCCTTCGGCGTGCATGGTGCAGCTTGCGTCGGTGGTCCTCCCCCGAGGACCGGGGTTTGACGGATAAAGACCGGCGGAGTTTTGCGAAACGATTCAGCGTCAGGATTGTCGTCGAAGGAACCAAAAGCTATATTGTTCTGGATAATGGACCGCGACGCGACGGATCGAAGGGAGCTAAAGGTCCTGTCAGTTCGACCAAAATATG